GTCAGATATTTCATGTTTGGAAAGACTTTTTTTAATACCTTCCCAAAGCAAACGGAAGAGGATTGTGCTTTTTTTTTTCCAAATTGCTTTGACATTTTTGAATCTAATCCAAATCTGAGCAGCTTTGTACTTTTCTGCTTATAACTGGGGGAAAAGGCTCACTGTCATGGGTGACCTTGGTAAGAAATATGGCAGGCTCAAAGCTATATTTGCCGCTTTTTTAACAATTGTATAGGACCATACCATTTATATTGGAACTTAATACCTAGATGTTCTACATTATAATCTTTCACACAGTATTATGAAACTAAATTACTGTGTAGCTTGATGTAACTAGTGAAAGTGCAAGGTTACAAGTGCTGATTATTTTTCTTACTAGGTCCTTGTCTTGTAATGTCACAGCAAATTATAACAGCAATTTAAAAAATACATATAACCCAAATTTAAAACTGATTTTGGTATTCAATTGTTTTTGTTGTAAAATCCTTTCATCTAGAAGACCAATGCAAGAATAGTAGCCATCCAGATTTCAGTTTCTTGCTTTACTTCATCATGTGAAAAGGAAGTAGGAGGACACCTTCCTTTGCTAAGCAGCAACACCATTTTGCAAATATGTTAATGGTGAGAAAATGTTTGTAATTCTCAGAGAACTCTGTGTTATGAGTACAGTTCTACCTTTATTGCACACACACTTTCTACAATAAAGGAGACTGGGGCACTTCTAACAAACATTTGAAATCCTCTCTTGAATTATCCTCATATAGTCTACATGTCCTAAAGTGGGGCAGGATTTATTTTTGTTATTCATTTTTAAAGTGTCAGTGAGCAGATGCATACTTTAAAACTTAGCCATCTGTGGGTTTCTTTCACTCTGGATCCCTTTTCACTATTTTGTACTCTCTAGAGATAAAACACAAATGGATTCAACATAGACAGCACCTCTAGGGGCAAGAAGTGGCCACTGTCTATGAGCTGTTTCTACATTTAAAGGAACAGACATCTGTTCTACCCTCACACATGATAAACTCCTGAGTATGTAAAGGAAACTGTCCTGACACCTGTCAGAGGGTGAACTTGACTGTTCTAAAAGCCAGAGGCTGAGTTGCCTTAATGATGGTTTTAAAGTAGAAGATGGATTGATGTGTGAGGTGAGAGGAGCAATTTGGGAGGACATCAACAGTAGATATCAGCCCAGAGGCCTCATTTACAAACAACTTAGCATATCTCTTTCCCTCTCTTTCTCCCCCTCCGCCCACCCCAAATTTATATTGACTTCCCCTTCAATGTCCCTTCTGAAGATGTCCTACAGAATTTAATAGAAATTAAACAAATAGGTTCTTTGAAATAAATAGGTTTCTATAGAAATTACCTGTATAATTGATAAAGCTTAATATCCTTTCACTAGCTTTTTTTTTTTTTAAACCATTATAGCGCGGCTATACTTTTCTACTCATAGAATATTAGGGTTGGAAGAGACCTCAGGAGGTCATCTAGTCCTATCCCCTGCTCAAAGCAGGACCAACACCAACTAAATCATCCCAACCAGCGCTTTGTCAAGCCAGGCCTTAAAACCCTCTAAGGATGGAGATTCCACCACTTCCTTAGGTAACCCATTCCAGTGCTTCACCACCCTCCTAGTGAAACAGTGTTTCCTAATATCCAACCTAAACCTCCCCCACTGCAACTTGAGACCATTGCCTCTTGCTGTCATCTGCCACTGAGAACAGCAGAGCTCCACACTCTTTGGAACCCCCCTTCAGGTAGTTGAAGACTATCAAATCCCCCCTCTTCTCTTCTGCAGACTAAATAACCCCAGTTCCCTCAGCCTCTCCTCGTAAATCATGTGCCCCGGCCCCCTAATAATTTTCGTTGTCTTCCGCTGGACTCTCTCCCATTTGTCCACATCCCTTCTGTAGAGGGGGGACCAAAACTGGACACACTACTCCAGCTGTGGCCTCACCAGTGCTGAATAGAGGGGAATAATCACTTCCCTCGATCTGCTGGCTCCTGCTAATACAGCCTAATATGCCGTTGGCCTTCTTGGCAATGGGGGCACACTGCTGACTCATATCCAGCTTCTCATCCACTGTTAATCCCCAGGTTTTTTTCTGCAGAACTGCTGCTTAGCCTGTTGGTCTCCAGCCTGTAGTGGTGCATGGGATTCTTCCTTCCTAGGTGCAGGACATCAGATAGAATGGGTAAAACACCTCAAGAGAAGTTATCACTATCTATTAAATTCTAGAGGACTATTCCAGAAGGGTAGGTTTACTTTCATAGGTTGGTTGGTTTGAGTTCTGTTTTTGATGCAGTAGGTTAATATGATAACATCTTTTCTCAAATACTATCCGAAGAGTCAGTAAAACATCATCTGAGAAATTAAAAATAAAAATGCTATGTTGTGAAATAGAAAGACATGCTGGGTGAGGTAATATCTGTTATTGCATCCACTTTTGTTGGTGAGAGACAAGATCTTCTAAGAGCTCCATGTAAGCTAGAAAGCTTGTCTTTCTCATCAACAGAAGTCGGTCCAATAAAAGATTTTACCTCACCCACCTTGTCTCTTACTACCCTGGCACTGACTCAGCTACAACAACACTGCATACGGCAATGCTGCAAAATAGCTATTTATTCACAAAATGGCCAACTTCTGACCTTGCCCCCATGGTTCCCCTGGCAAAAGATGGGGATGGGAGGGCAGAATTTGTGGGGTGATGTGGGAATTCCTTGTCAACCTATGGAGAGAGGGTATATTGTGTCAAGCATGGCATTCATGGGTGGGTCTGGAGGATCTACTGTGACATGGACATCTTCCCTTCCTCATTCCCCACGGATGGGTACATATAAAGGTTCATGGATTACTGCAGTACAGATAGCAGAGCAGCTACTTCTCAGCAATTTCCTTCCATGTGCAGAAGTCCTGTGAGCTGTGCCCAGATTGGGTTGGCTACTGGCTGTCCCTGCGTGAAGAGAACATTGAAATCTCCAAAGGTAGATTATCAGATTGCCTACATAAAACTGTACAATGAAATATTTAAAACATTTTAAAGTTTTTTGGCTTTAACAAAGTAATCACAGGAACATGAGTAGTGTTGTACTGGATGGTCAGAGCAGTGTTCCTTTAAATTCAGTCATTGGCAGCAACTGATTCCAGATGCTTTAAAGAAAGATGCAAGAATCTCCATAGGAGTCATTTTGATAAAATACAAAAAATTATAATCATTTTTTGAGCATTGGAGAGTTCACCTTGAAGCTGCACAGGACTAATTAGCTCTTGCAAAACATTTAATTATAGAAATAACAAACATACTTTTAGTCTAGCACTGTGGTTACAAGACTATGGCTGAATAATAAGTCATTTTATCACAGGTTTCAGAGTAGCAGCCGTGTTAGTCTGTATTCGCAAAAGGAGTACTTGTGGCACCTTAGAGACTAACAAATTTATTTGAGCATAAGCTTTCATGAGCTACAGCTCACTTCAACGGATGCATTCAGTGGAAAATACAGTGCGGAGATTTATATACATAGAGAACATGAAACAATGGGTGTTACCATACACACTGTAACGAGAGTGATCACTTAAGGTGAGCTATTACCAGCAGGAGAGCGGGGGGGGGGGAAGGGGAACGACCTTTTGTAGTGATACTCAAGGTGGGCTATTTCCAGCACTTGACAATAACGTCTGAGGAACACTGGTTATCACAGGGTTACACATACTGCTACCAAGTACAAATACAATCATGAAAAACATCTGTAAGACCCTTATAAGCAATTTGTCAAAATACTTTAAAACATATGTATAATAAATGAAGACCACATGTTTCATATGAACCAAATGAAACTAGAGCTGTACAGAATGGTTTGCCAGAGATCTGAACAGCTGCGGACATCACCTCTCCTTCTGTCCAGCTTTAAAAGGCATTGTTTTTCCTTTAGGTTGACAGGTGACATTGCAATACTGTCAGTCTTCCTGAAAGAGAGTTTCCCAAAAATACTTCTCTAAAATGCCCTCGAACCCTCTTCCCCTCCCTCAGTGCTGCTTTTGATGGTCATCTGAGGTACTTGACACACACTGCCTATTTACAAAAGATCTCTTCTAATTTACAATCTGTACCAAACCCATCAGATTGTAAAAAGAAACCAGCCCTTACTGAAGTTTACTCCTGCATAAATATCAATTTATGTACCGTACAACACTGTCTGTTTGGTATATGAAATAGATAAGAGTCCAGTTAACTTCCTGTTACATACAGATCATGTACATACTCACACTATATATCTTCCTTGCTGGTGTCCCAAGTGCAGAGGGATTGGCCTGATTTATCTGAGGCTCCTCAGAGTTCAAAATTTGAACCACTTGTCCCCTCCACAAGGCTGGAAGCTCCTTCTCCCCAATGCAAACATGAGCTGGGTGCTCTACAAGGAGAACCTTCTATAGTTTCCTTACTGTTTTTTGCACTCAAGCAGGTTTCTCCTTGAGTACTTAGGCCACAATTTGATAGTATTATTGGTTTGTAGTAGAACATTTTATGTTTCCTCACATAATATTTTTAAAAATGTATCAATGCAAAGCTATGAGAATGTCTATAAAGCACTGGGCTTCCTAGTAAAATCCAAGGGTATGGTAAAATTAGTTTCCTATGGCCCTCTAATTATCAGTCTATACTTTGCTACTTGATTGAGAGCCTCCTGACTCTTCCATTCCATCTTTGGATCTACCCTTGATGATGCAGCAATAGGAGCTGAGGATTTGGGTTTTATTAATCAGTGCTCTCTGGAATTGTGCCAGCACAAAATATTATCAGCCATGCATTTCAAAGGCTTCAGTGACTTATTTTATGCCAATGTGAAAGCAACAAAGTTTGATTTTATACACCTGAACAATAAAATATTTTAATATTGAATTTCTGAGTATTCCTTATGAAGATACTGTATAAGATTGTGTTCAGGTCATTTGAATGAAGGTATACAGTACTTAAATCAGTCTACCATACTTTATAATATGTAATAAATTTAAAACTTTATTTTCTTTTCCTTTCAGTTTTACAAAAGTAGCAGGAATGTGAGATCCTTTCTTCATCATCAAGCATGTGCAATCACTAGCAACATTTAACAACAACAACCGGGTGATCACAAGTTAGCTTAAATAGCTCCAAGTATCCCTGAAGAGCTACTGTGTGCTGTGTAAAAGCTGAATAATCCTCGCAGTGTCAGGGGGTGACTCTTCAGCTGTTCAGGATCATGAGATGATATCCTAGCACTCGTAAAACAGCAGATTTAAAACACAAGAACATACATTTAGGTAAAGATCATTGTGACAGTATTGGAAGTAATCCACAAGAATTGTCAACACCCTGGAGGCCAAACTAACATTACTGAGTCAAAGAATTCAAGCTTTTACTCAAAAACAAACAAAAGAATACAGCAAATTCACACTGAATTATGCACGCTAGGAATATGAACATTTTCCTTCACATTTGGCTCATTTTTAAGCTTTTACAAGATAACTGGGAAAAAGGGGCATTTGTTGAGAGCACACTTTCAATTTAAATACATACTGAGTTATTTATATAACAACAGAACTGCAATCTGGGCAAAAGTATTGCTGATCTTTATTGCCTAGTGATTTGCATAAAATAATTTATCACATTTATGAAGGCACATTGATAGAAAAGGAATCATTTCAACGTTTAAAAAAATGATTGTTTTTAATTCATTATAAGAAGGGGAGTTGTTTTGGCCCCTGAGTTTAGAAAAATACCATTTGGTTTTCAAGACCTAATAATCTTTGTTTTAAATATTTACATGGTAGTTTCTTCCCATTCAAGTTCCACATCACCTACAACAGAAACAAATACATTAAATTAAACTGCTTTTAAAATGAACATTAAACAATTACTGATAACTCTTAGTATGTATTTGAAAGAATTTCTGTTGAACAATGTAAATAGCTTGAGCAATGACTGATACCAGAATCTGGGTTAAAGGACAGCAGAAAGCCATAACTTTGCTCTTATCAAGCTTCCAAGTGCTTGTCAAAGTATGCTTATTAGTATGAACAAATCAATGCACCTGCTAGGAAAAAATAACTTTGGAACAATCTGTATCTACTTACCTTCCATGGCATCCAAAGAGTCCATCTTTTGCAGTGCTGAATAATTTACAAAACATATGGATTGACTGCTTCCCTTGCTTGTCAATAGGTCCAAAACACACTGATGCAAAAAAATATATTGTGCCTGTAAGATGTAAAAGTTAGACGTTACTTACATGATTTTATGATGGAAAATTTGCTTTTTTAATAACAAAATATTTTAAAGTAATATTGAATTAAAACATATAGATGTTCTGAAAGTAATTCTAGTTTAGCAACTTATTCCAACCCTTTGATAATGTCTTATGTCTGACCCAATTTTGATAATTATGAATGATCAATTATTAGTCTATAGGCATGTTAATTACTATGCTCAAATATACAAACATTATTCCAAACATAACTGAAGATAATAGACTGCACCACACCATTCCCTCAAAGCTAGTTATACATTAAAAAAATGTGTTCAGCTTGTTTTTCCAACATTTGATTCAGAATGAAGAAGCTGAACCACATACATCAAACACTTAAATGAAGAAACTTTCCTCCCTCCTGAAAGCCAGCAGGGTGCAGTCAAATCCAAAAAATCCACTAAATTCCATTCACTTGATACATGGCCTGTTCATGAGGGAAAAAACAAATAGCTTCTAAAGATAGATGCCTGTTGTAGAGGTCATTTTGAGAACCAGCTAAGAAATAAAAATGTTGACTTTCTTGGCTTTTGTGCATTGGGGTAAAACTCTTAATCATTCAAACTGTTTCTAACACATAATGAGAGTTTCATTTAGATGGTTATGTCTCTGGAATCAGTAATTCTCAAGCCACAGATAACTGAAACAATAAACTTTCAGAGCTGCTTCAGTATACAGTAGCAATACATATTGTTTGCATATATCAATCCTGAAATCTTTATTGACATGATAGGGTGCGATTGCTTCAAAATACCCATTGTAGTAAAGCCTTTTTTGGGGAAGATTTCTTGCTCTGTAATGGATCAAATATGAGCAGGCAAATATGAGCTGTGACCTGAGAGACTGAAGTTACTACAACATAAATTGTTTAAATAGTTTGTAATGTTATGATTTTGAACCCCAAAAGCTATAAAGTCTGTTGTGCCAAAGCAGCTCCCACCTGTATGCACTAAAAATCTTTCTGAAATTCCCATTGGGGCAGGAAAATGGATGAAGGGGAGCACATGATGTGTCAAAAACCTTTTTGTAGGGTCTTTTCCTGGAAAAAAAATCACTTTCATTAGGGACTAGACTGCATTTTACATACAGTAGAACCTCAGAGTTAAGAACACCAGAGTTGGGAACTGATCGGTCAACCACACACCTCATTTGGAACGGGAAGTATGCAATCAGGCAGTAGCAGAGGGCAAAAAAGCAAATAGAGTAGAGTGTTGTGTTAAACATAAACTACTAAAAAAAAGGGGAACTTTAAAAAAAAGTTTTGACAAGGTAAGGAAACTGTTTCTGTGCTTGTTTCATTTAAATTAAGATGGCTAGAAGCAGAATTTTTCTTCTGAATAGTAAAGTTTCAAAGCTATATTAAGTCAATGTTTCGTTGTAAACTTTTGAAAGAACAACCATAATGCTTTGTTCAGAATTACAACATTTCAGCGTTATGAACAACTTCCATTCTCCGTTCGTAACTTTGAGGTTCTACTGTATAGCCCAGAATAAGGGGCCCTGTGTAGCTGAAACACCCCTGAGGGGTCCACATGGTGGCGTGTAGAGTACAGATGCTGCACACCCAGCTAGCACAGGTATAGATGCCAGTGTAGATGGTGAGCCATGGCTTAGGCAAGTAGTGTAGAGTGCCCTACATTCCTGAATCCGAGGATATATATCCTGTACAGCTCTCTACACGCTCAAGCAGGGGGAAGGCATGTCTACACTGCTACTTTTAGCAGAGCCTTTCCCTGCAACAATGAAAGACTTGAGCAGTGGGAAAAAGGTTCCAGCAGCCAAGAGCCTTCTCTTCTATTCCCACTGCTGGAGGCTTTCGCTGCTGCATGTATGTACCCACTGTACTATGGTCACTACAGCATGTAGTGACATGTACCCTACACACCTTCACAAGTGCAGGCAGTTGCAGACAAGGTCTCGGAGAGACACAGTACCTCCCAGAGTGCCTTGGTTGTACTGGAGGGGAAAAAGGGAGTGATTTTCTACAATCCTTTTTAGGGTACAGCTTACTCCTCAACCAGTACTTTCTAAGCCAACTTTCTAATTGCACAAAACGGAACACCCTTGCCCTGCCCCCTGCTCTGCCCCTGCTCACTCCATTCCTGTTGCTCGCTCTCCTCCACCCTCACTCACTTTCACTGGGCTGGGGCAGGGGGTTGGGGTGCAGGAGGGGGTGAGAGCTCCTGCTGGGGGTTCAGGCTCTGGGGTGGGACCAGAAATGAGGGGCTCAGGAGGAGGGAGAGGGCTCTGGGCTGCAGCCAATGGGTTTGGACTGTGGGAGGGGGCTTAGGCTAGGGCAGGGTGTTCAGATGCAGGAGGGGCTATGGGCTCAAGATGGGAGTGTGGGGTCTGGTGGGGATGAGGGGTTAGGGATGCAGGAGAGGGCTCAGGGCTGGGGCAGGAGGTTGGGGTGTGGGAGGGAGTGCAGGCTCCAGGAGGGAGTTTGGGTGCAGGAGGGGCTCAGGGCTGGACAAGGGGTTGAAGTGCAGGAGGGTTTCGAGGTACAGGCTCCAGGAGGGAGTTAGGGTATGGGAGGGGGCTCTAAAGCAGGGCAGGAGGTTGGGGTGTGGGAGGGGGTTTGGGGTGCAGGCTCTGGCAAGGTGGCACTTACCTCAGACGGCTCCTGGAAGTGGACGGCATGTCTGGCTCCTAGGCAGAGGGGTTGGGGGGCTCTGTGGGCTGCCTGTGCCTGCAGGCACCACCTCTGCATCTTCCATTGGCCATGGTTCCCAGCCAATGGGAGCTGCAGAGCCGGTGCTCAGGGCAAGGGCAGCAGGCGGAGCCTCCCTAGCTGCCCCTGCACCTAGGAGCAGGAGGGACATGCCACCTGCTTCCAGGAACTTTGCAGAGACAGGCCAGGCAGGGAGCCTGCCTTAGTCCTGCTGCACCATTGCTTGGACTTTTAATGGCCCCGTCAGCACTCCTGACTGTAGCCGCCAAGATCCCTTTTCGACCAGGCATTCTGGTCTAAAACCGGATGCCTGGCAACCCTATACTGCTGGCTGACACAAAGTGTTGTGTGTAGGAGGGGAACAAGGGAGTTGAGTCATGACCTAACCTAGTCCCTGCCCTTCCCTGGGGATAGTGTCTTATGCACAGCCCCTGTACTCTCCCAGCACCGAGAGCTAAGATTCAGGTAGACGAGCTGGCAAGGAGGGAGTCCCTACTCCCCTTCCTATTTCCCTGCACAGCTATGTTAGGCTTATTCTTAATCTAGCCCTGTACCAGCAGTTCAAAATTGCAACACAATGGTCTGCAAAAGTAAAACAATTTCAATGTTATAAATATGGAAAGGAAGGGTGATATTTATTTTATTCCTACAATTTAAAGAGAGGGTGATTTTTTATTTTTATTTTTTAATTGGAGGTGGGAGGGAATTGCTTTTGTCTTGGTACCTTCTCTATGCTGACAATTTAAAACCCAAATTAGAGACCGTTATGAGGTGTTTTATAATGGAAATGTCAGAATAGCCTGTACTGCTAAAACCTTGCTTTGTTTAGGGAAACAATGGATAACCCTCAAAAACTAATAAGAATCAGTTCTGTTTGGATCAGTCTCAATGGTGACATGGAGTATTGCACCTCTTGGTTCTGCAGAACTGTGCTGGAAATGACTTGGAGAAGAACAAGCTCTCTCCTGACACTGCCAATATTATACCAAAGTAACAATGACAATACTTCCTGCCTTTGATCAGGTTGGAAATAAGTATTAAGAGAACAGCTTCTCGTATTACAGATTCTAGCAGAGGCCAAAAAGTAAGCCCAGATGTAAGCAAGAGTGACAAACATATGTTTTTTAAATAAGCCTTGACCTTATCTGTTGTCTTTTTTATTTGTAATGCTTTGGTTCTGTGAGGCCTCCACTGAATGGCCTCCCACTGAGGCTATTTAGATTATTTGATTTGCAATGAAGGATGTAAGACTACCGGTTCCAGTGCTCCTCACCACAGTAAAATCCCAGTGATAGGAGTCCTGTTATTTTCTCACCTAGCTACATGTGCTACATTTAAACCTACCTGTGATGGTCCTCACTCTGGGATTGGTTGGTCAGGTAGTGTCACCTAGTGGTCAGGGTTAAGGCCTGTGACCTGCAGGGGTGTTGTTGGTAGGGGAACCTGGGCCCTCCCACTCCACTGGGCTCTGAACCAGGGTCCTTTGAGGGCTATCAGGGATGTGACAGCCGAGGCTGTTTAAGGCTGCCCTCTCTGGGACTCTTCCCGTCTCCCCTCCTGCAACTGTCCCAAAGTCACACTCTGGGTTAAGGCAGTGTGAAGGGTGCCTGCTCACCACAAGGCACCTTCTGATCACTGTTCCCTCTAAGCTGTGCGTGTGTGCGCATGCACACAGATCCTAAACCCCACGCACATGGCAAAACACGGTGCACACACAAAAAATGGCACAGAAGCACAACAATTTGCACAGAAGAAATTTTTTGCGCACACGGCCTATCAAAAATTAGAGGGAACATTGCTTCTGATGATGGCATGCCACATGGTAGCTCTCTTTCTCAGGTGCCACCTGCCTCCACCCACGATATGGCCACCCTCCTGGGCCAGCTCAGTCCTAGGGCTTTCCTCTGCTGGGATAGTCCAAACAAAAAATAAAGGGGATTACCAAAGTCCAGAGATCATATGAGGGGGAGAGGGGAATGCTTCCCTCTCCAGCTGTCTCTGCAACAGGTCCTCCTTTCCGTCAGGGAGGGACCTTTGGGCAATTGTCTTAGGGAGAGATTTCCACCTTCCCTCCATTCTCCTCTGCTTGAGCTGCAGGTCTGCTCTCTTCGCTGGTCTGCTACTGCCACCAAATGAGCTGTTTTCCTGCCTTTTAACTCCTCCTACAATAGGGAAATTTCCAGTGTGGCGGGGTGGCACTGGTTGGGCCCAGAGCAGCGCCCTTTCCCCTTGTTGTCCAGTGTGGGGTTTGTACACCCCATCATATTACCAAACTGACGTTTGCTAGAGAACAAACAGAACAGAATGGATGTTTTTTCAACTCCCTACTGCCATCTATTGTAACTAGAGAACTCTACATTCTGATGCCAACAGTTAATAAACAGAATAAAGAAGGGAAAAAATCCCAAACGATAAACAACCAGACAACAATATTTTCCAGGTGACATTGTACCATAGTCTCAATTTTCAACCTAAGATCCCAAAATCTCAGATGTATAGGATCAACTGCTAGAAAGGACAGACTAGCTTTACACATCACCTTCATCTCACTTCCCATATTCTCCAATCCAATATGGATAGCAGGAATGCTTCCCAAACTGAATAAGCCTCCTTTTGCAGGGCATGTTTACATAAACACTCATTGCACAACAAGCTGGAGGTAAATCTACAGTGCTGCACACTAACTGCCTATGTAGACCCTGGTAGTGAGCATTAAAAGTTCCCTAGTGCACTTTGCTGTACTGCTCTTTCAAACCGTGGTTGGTCAATGCAGACTAGAGAACACCTAGTGCACATCAGCAGGGTCCACATGGACAGTTATTGTGTGGCACACTGTAACTCTGTAGATTAACATCCCAGCTTGCCACAAATTAAGTATTTGTATAGACATGCCCACAAATAGCTTTGAAACCCTCAGGCTTGTACTCAGCAGAATGCCAGCATGAGACTTACATCTCAATATAAAGAGTTAATAAGCTTGTAAGTCGTATCTTAGACAAAGAGGTTCAAATTAATACCACACTCTCCGCTGGCAAGGAAGAGTATGCGATGAACTAGCAACTGGGTCAAGAGTGACCTGTCCAAAGGGTCTGAACCTGCACCCATTGAAGTCTGACCCCAACAACAGGAACACACCCCTTCTTAGCTCAGTCTAAGACCTGTAGTTCTTACAGCTAAGCACCCTTAATTGTAGTGGTTGAGTTAGATCAAGGATCTCAAACTTCTTCATACTGTTACTGCATCTTAATACAGATGTTATCTCATAGCCATTTCCTTTTCCATTCGTGGGTGAAATCTAGACCTTAACGTCAGTGGGAGTTTAGCCACTGACTTCAATGGAACCAGAGTTTCACCTCATGATTATATAACAACCCTGAGGTAACTACAGCAATTGCTTACCGTTTAACTGCTAGAAATAAACAAGAAGAGTCAGCACCATGTTATCAGCCTGGTCTCCAGGGAGTACTGGTGGTTCTCAGACCACAGTTTAAGAGCCTCTGAATTAGATAATACTATTAAACCTACAGGAATTAATACAAGGAGACCCTGGGCACTGCAGCAGGATTACCACTAATTGGGGCATTAAGGGCAGCTTTAAAGTCCACTAAGGTTCCATGGAAACCAGCATGTACCGAGATCTCTAAGCCTAGGATAGTCCTTTTTCTAGCAGTTCAATTATTTTTCTCTTAATAACTTATACTCACCTTGCATATGATTGCTAAATAAAAATGTATCTTGTTTTAGGTCCAGAGAAGGCTCTTCAAACACTTATCTTACAAATACTGAAGAGTGCATATAACTTAACTCACTTCTGTAACCTTATTTAAGTCAATTTAAAATAAGTCAGTCAATGGGACTATTGGTATGGGTAAAGTTAAGCACATGTTTACATTTTTGGAGGATGGAGCCCTATATTTGTATAAACTTACTTATCAGAAGAGTTAATAAAGTCAAATATAATAAGATGTTGGCAAATCACTTTGGGTCTAAAAAAAATTACCTGAACCTTCACACAAAATTCAAAATAAACCTTTTCACAAAGTCTGAGAAGGTTTGGTTTACTTTTTAAAAACATTACCTTTCATCTTTGCACTCCTTGGCTGGGAGACAAGCGTCTAAAGACCTCAAGAAAGTGTACTGGTATAATGCTTCCAATCCAACCGGGAAGTACTAGAAAACTTACAATAAGGCTGATTTTCATAAGTTTCGCTGCTCATTTTTGCAGTACTTCAGAGAACAAAATGATTTCTTAACATAGGATGCATATAAATTCTATATATCTTACCAGGTTCTGTACCATACACATTCTCTCACTTCTCAGCTCGGCTACAAGTCCATAGATGTCCACAAAATCATGATAATTTATATGCTGTGTTAAGTGATCTAGTGCAATATAAACCCCTGTTCTTCCAACCCCAGCGCTGTAAAGAATAAATAAATAATAAATAAATGAAATAAAATATAGTTTATACACTAATTATTTTAATATATATCACTGCAAATCTTCAGTATAGCAGATCCAGTGGCTGGAAGTTGAATCTAGACAAATTCAGACTGAAAATAAGGCTTACATTTTTAATGGTGAGAGTAATTACCCATTGGAACAATTCTGCAAGGGTAGTCGTGGATTCTCCATTACTGACAATTTTAAAATCAAGATTGGATGTCTTTCTAATAGGTATACTCTAGGAATAATTTTGGGGCAGTTCTATGACCTATGCCTTACAGGAGATAAGACTAGGTAATCACCATGGTCCCACCTGGCCTTTGAATCTATGAATTTAAAACCTCGAAAAATAAATTTATTATTAAAAGAAAATTGGGCCAAAACTAGAACTTTTACCCACCCTCTCACTCTGGTACCTTTATTGGTTGGGATAAAATGGAATCTAGAAGTGAATTATGACCTGGCTTTGGTTGTGCAAAGCCAAAGCCTGACTCATGAAGTGCAGCTAAATCAAAACTACGCTGTTTAGTAAATTGTAGGACTGGGAAGGAGCCAAAAAGCTTTTATATGAATCCCGACAAACCTTGCTGGTTTGAATGCAACAAAACTGCAATCACGAGGTTCTGCAAAACTGAAATGTGGTGCATTTCTATTAAAAACTAAACAAAACAAAGAGGACTTCTATACAGTGAATTGCTCTACAAGAAAAAACTTTTGAAAAAAGGTGGGAATGGATAGCTAGGCTGAAGTGGCAAGTCCAACACTCTTGTGGCTAGGGGTATTCTTCTTAATTAAGGGGTCTGAAAATTAACAGGGTTACCTTAAAATCATTCCCACACTCATAAGCGAGCAGTGCAAAAAATGCTGGGCAGGAATAACATGATTATGTTTGCTCACCAAGTGTGTGACTGCATTCTGTAAAAGCTGCAACATGTGAGAAGCTCTGCTAAGTGGTATGACAATACATGAATCCTGTGGTTATGAGGACATGTGTTGCTGCTGCAAGGTCCTAGTGACATAAGCAAGGGAACATCCTTAGTATGGGCTGGGGGCCAAATTCTTTGTCCCCTTTGCACCTCTCTGCAGTGCAAAGGGGATGGAATCTGGCCCTATCTCCCATTTGGGGACAACCACCAGCATGGGGGAGTCCTCAGAAGCATAGAGCCAGTGTAGCTGCCTTTTCCACTAGCCTCTAGTGTAGGGGTTGCGTTGGGAGCAGGGAATAGGAGTAGCAGGAAAGCATTATGTTCCAGCAGTGGACATTTGGTGGATGGTCCCTTAGTGACACTGACAGCTGAAGCAAGTTAGAGCAGTCCCAAAGCATTATAGGCTGAATACAGATGAGGGATGGAGCAGACAACTGAGAGCTGAAACCAAATCGCTCAGTGTCCCCTCACACTGAGCGCACCAGAGAATCTGGAACAGGGTTCTTAGCCTGAATCACTACTTCAGAATGTGCCCACTGAGTCAGTGGGGACACTAAGAGACCATCTGAAAATGTGGAAAGAACTGTATAAAATCTAGACCATTTTACTGAAGGATTAGCCTTGCTCAGACACTGACTCTTTGAAATGATAGTGTAATGGTGTAGTAGAGAATGAAATCAATCGGAGCTATGAGAGCTGAACTTGTCTCACAACCAGACCACTTATTTAGCTCCCCAACATATAGATTTGGGCATCTATTTTTAGGATCCAAGTTTGAAATCTGGCCTTTGAATGTGAAAGAGATTCTAGATACAACCTTCTATTCCAAGTCTCCATTCTTTGCAGGTTCCCATGTAGTTTCTGTCTTCTGATAATATATGATATGTAGATTTTAAATAAACTTTTCAATACTTCTTCCTTAAAGAAAGCTATAATTATAGTAGAAGTCATTACAAAGTCAACATTTGTCAACTGTTACCCCACACATATCTCCTATTTTAAGTAAATAGGAAATCTGAAGTGAACTTTAATGTGCCTGTATGGTAAATACCAGAATAACACTTTCACTGACATCGTATCAGTTGGATTGCATGGCGTGGAAGGGAAAGCACAAACTGGTCTTCTACCTCCAGAAAGAGTTGAGGAACATTGCTTGGAAACTTGCCCTGCTGCCAGGGTTATACTCTGAATAAAAGAACAGCCTTTTTACCCCACTGCTTTCAATCTGGCAACTTTCCTGTATACTAATATTCACTTAAATGGTATTACACTTTAAACCAATTTCATGTATGTACTTAATTCTCTGCTTACCTGCAGTGAACAATCATAGGTGTGTTATCATGTGCTCGACTTGCACGGATCAGCTTGACAAAATGGATTAATGGTGCTGTAGTTTCAGGGACCCCATGTTCAGGCCAGGCAGTAAAGTTACACTGACGTACCATCATACAATCCCCATGCTGGCAAGCACAAATCAGATACAAGTTCTGTATTAGAATTTTGAAACAGACCCACATTAGATCTAGAAGTGAACTGCACTGTAACACTTAAGTTTTCCTAGCACATTCTTCTCAATAACCTTACCTAAAGAGGAAAGTTTGAGACTTACAGTGTTGTCAAATGTACTAGCATCAGGAGAAAACTGATTTAATGGGTTTAATGACTGTTGTTTATGGGAAGCTGGCAGTAGTCCACCCATGGGAAAGTGTTAATGACCTCAGCCAGTAAGAGGCTCAGTAACTCTCCCTTTGACTTTACAAGCCAGATAGGACCTGGGTCCAATTTGCAGATTACAAGCTGAAGTGTCCCCAGGTCTTCTAGTAGCTCAATGAGCAAAGGTGGCTGAAACTCAATCAGAGAAGGTGTTCCATCTGACCCTTCCCTACACTGACTTGCTACTGTCAAGGCAGCCAACTGGTCCAATGCCAATTACTCTTGGCCAGAAAGCAAGTGGAAAGTATGTGAGCGACTACCCCACTATAGCATTATGTATGATAATACATAAAAGCAGCAAGTGACTACTTGACTTAACTACCGTATAATTATTATGCATAAGGACAATTTGGATCTATGTTAGTAAAGTAGGATGCGCTGAGGGGGATTATGGATGCAAAATGTACATGTTGACTTGCATGGAAAAAACCTTAGATAAATAAACAACTCATCCATTTTTGGGTTTAAAACGAAGAGCAAAGTTAAAAGACAAAAATACAGGATACTTAATCGGCATACTGATAAATGGCACAATTTAAGGTGTAATGTATTTTAGTGACTGCATACGGAACACTTAGAGAGCATGACTTATATTTTTTGAAAGCCTCATATTGGTTAACAGATATGAATTTGTGTTTTGCCAGCATACATTTCTGGCTGTAGAGTCCCCTTTTACTCTGGTTGCTTCTGTGTTCTGTATTAGCTACAAAACAAATTTATCATATCTCACAATCTTGTTTTTAAATGTTTCATTGCTCTGTACTATGTACACAATGTATTCCTAAGAGTCTGATAATTGGGATGTTGCCTACTTGTTTCCACTAGTGTGTGTCAAGAAAAGATTAACGCATCTTTACATTTGGACATGTAGGGTCAGATCCTAGGGTCTGGCAGAATTGCACACTATATATGTCAGTGCTGGAGGTCCAAAGGAGGCATGGTCTTCGTTACCGTAAGCAGGACAGATTCCTGAGCCTAAGTGCTCTTCTGATTTATACTGGTTGCTAATGGTTCCAAAAGCCTGAAACCACAGCTGTGGATCACAACAGCATTGGTGCCTCCAAGCCACTTCTCCTATGCCAGTACAGAAAGTGCAACTGGTAGTTAAGACCCCAAGAGCCACTTGTATTGAGGTGAATCTCCCAGGACTGGTCATGCCAGCTCTATAGTTCACTACTGCTGCTGATGCAATACAAAGCAGCTGCACTGTTCCAGAGAATCTCGCCCTTGGTTGCTTTATCTGGGAAGGATGCATTAGAAGGGGTTTTTATAATTACTCCCTTCCAGAAAAGATATTGAGATAGTCAGGTAGAAACTCTGAATCCCAGCAGATTAGAGACTCAGTACTCCTGATATTCCACTTCCTATCATCTGGGTTTCACATATCAGTTCCATGGGACAGAAACTGGAGACAACATTCAAAAAGCTCTAAAATCAAGGCCACTATTAAAAATATTCAGAAAAACCAGACAATGCAATGTATACAAATTTGAGATTAAAAGAAGAACTTTTAGGGACAGCTGAGTGGGATGGAACACATTTGATGTTCACTGGGGCTTTAAGAGTATATTTTTATAAAAGCATTTTTCAGTTTTCCCTTACCCTTTCAATTTTTAGATCCCTGATAGTCCAGTCTATGTGAATATCTTCCACTAATTTGGTAATCACTATATCTCCAAACACAGTCACTGGTTTGTTGTCTTCTGGCCAGTACTGGTGACATCTTACCTGCAGTCAGAGGACACTGCTTATTAACAATGAACATCTATAATCCTGATAGAATATATATAATTTCCAGTTATTGCATGCATTGTTAACTGATATGCCAGTAACTTACCCGTCCTTTTTCAAAACATTGCGTAAGCATCACGAGTGTTTTTGCTCTAGTCTCCCACACCATTCTCCAGAAATCACCCACTGTTCCTGGTAATGGTCCCTGAGTAGCAATAAACTCATTTGGACACAAGTAGCCCTACAATGAAAATATTTAATATATATGGATATACACAAACAAAAAGTGTGCATGTGTATGACTCATAATTATGCCTGCAGCCATATTACCAGAGGTTGTGAATTTGTCAGATACACGAAATTAAACAGGGATAGGCCTGGCAAGTTGTTGAATGGAAAACCTCCAAGGAAAGCCTAAGTGATGTGGATAATTCAATAGGTGATATTCCTTCCATTGAGTAAGTCTGTTCTCAGCCACCGCCCAAATATGTTAGAGGACCTGTGCTACTGGAAGTGGCATCTTTTAAAAAGATGTCAAATTGAAGTCACGGCCACTTACAGTAATTAAAAATATGCCAAGGTTACAGCCTATGGCTGTATTACCTTTACTGCAGAGTTTCACCCATGATCCTGGGGCAGCTGTGGCTGGGGGCATGGTTGTGCAACTCTATTAATGCAAAACTGCTATGGATCCAGAGCTGGTGGGGAGCCCACATAGGTTGCCTTGTCCTCCAATTGATCAGCCCAGGTTCAGAGGTGGCCTTTTTCCTGCCAGTGGGTTGGGGGAACCTCAGCCCTGAAAAGTGATGTTCTAAGTCTCTCTCTGAGAGAGATTCCCTGAGGTCACCCTGTGGGTTTTTCCATGGAAGGGATGATTGTGGTTTCTGTTTTTGTACATAATTCTAAAAATGGATTAAAAGCATGAGAGCAGTTTTTTCAAGCAGAGACTTCAGTACATGTTTCCCCTGGCTGTCCTTCCACAGGATGGAACCAGTTTTCTTAAAGGGGCCATTGGTACACCAGAAGCTCTATGTATTATATAAAATTAAAAAAAATAAATGTTACATTACAGAGCTGATAGTCCATTATGGAGTTCTGGTAATTAAACAGAACAAACAGCGCAGAAGTTTATTAGCATCATCAAAACTACTCAATGGAATTACAGCCCTATAATTCACAGCTGCCTGTTATTTATTTGATATATAATATACATAACAGGTGGCGGTGGGAAACTACACTAATCCTCCCTAGTTGAACAGTGAAGTGAGGAGCTATAACTCAGGGATGCAAAGCTCGGAGTTAATTATTTGCTTTCTCCCTTCATGGGTAAACCAGTAAAAATAAAAGTAGCATTCCAATTTCCACTTGTTATATAGTAGATACAGGGTGTTTCTCTCTCTCTCTCTCTGTATATATACATACACACATATATATATACACACACACACACACTCACTCACTGCTAAGAGTTCTCCCACGTTGGCATTTTTGTTTGCTTCTGAGTAATTCAGGCATAATGCCTTTTGTCACCTCTGATAGCATATTGCAGCTGCTAAGGCCACCAATTCTCAGAGCTACAACTTTTCACTTTATATAGATATCTCTCTCTCTCTGTGTACATATATAAACACAGAGAGAGAGAGAGGGGGAGAGACAGGGCAAAGTGGTAGCTATGAGAATTGGTGACCTTAGCAGCTGCAATATGCTATCAGTAGTGACAAAAGGCATTATGCCTGCATTAGTCAGAAGCAAGTAAAAATGACTACATGGGAGAACTTTTAGCAGTAGCAATTTCTGCAGCCTTTTTGAAGGTGCTATGTGAGCTTCCCAGCATCAGTTTTTGAGTGCTAGCCAGTGATGGGAAGACCTATCTATCCTCCCCTCTACCCAGATCCCCACCTCAGAGGCCATGAGCCTGGCAAACAGCACTACAGCTGTGTAACAGGATTTGTAACAGGGTGGAAGGTCTCTTCTGCTGTTGACCCACCCTGTTAGGGCTCTGTATAAAGTGATGAGTAAGCTTTGCTGACTAGTAGAAAGGAAGGATGATGTTTAAGACAATGGGTGGGAGTCAGGGCTCAGGAGATCAGTGTTCAATACCCAGCTCTGCTACAGACTTCCTGTATGACCTTGGGCAAGTCTCAGTGCCTCAGTTCCCTGTCTGTAAAATGGAGATAATACTATTTTCTTTCACCTACTCTTTGCTGTCTCTTCTATTTATATGGTAAGACCTGCATGGCACAAATTGTCTCTTATTTTGTTTGCACAGTGTGTAGTGCAATGGGGTTTTGACCTCAGTTGGGGCCACTGTAATAAAAACAATAAATAATTATAATAATCATTGCAACAGGAATAGCTTGATTGTTTTACCAGGATGCAAGAAGGGGCATTACCATGGTTCAGGGAAATAAGGGCAGACACAGGGAGATCCTGCAGAAAACCCTGATAAACAAATAAGTCTGGGGAGAAATGTTCTGCTATTATTACTTGATTTACCAATAAAGCCAGACTCCAGGGAAGGCATTATTTGGAGCAGGGTGGGAATGTCATCTATTCTATTCCGCAGAAGGATTGGAGGAAAAAGACACTGTGCTCTCTCCCCCACATCAACAGAGTATTTTAATGACCTATTTTGTCTATGTTCAAACACATCAGCTTATTCAACTGTTTTAAAATATTTTGGTACCAGTTATGTCATTGAACAATCAGCTACTGTGTTGTTGACATTTTTCCTCATCATAATTAGCATGAAATAATAAGGGCCACCATAAAAGCATGTTATCTATTCTTACAGGAATATTTAGTTCAGTTCTATTTATTTTTACATAGCATCTTTTATACAATACCCCAAAATCTTTAACTAAGAAATACAAAATAGCGCCATATCCGGCACCACTGACTTGAATGGGATTTTCAAAATTGGCTTCAATGAGAACAGGATGAGATAATTTCCAGAAATGAATTAGCTGACTACAGTTGTTTTACTATTAATAAACACAACCGAACAATAAAAATGCACAAATTAAATTAAATGTTTTAAAACTAATTATGTTCAGTGATACACTTGGACACATGAATTCATAGTGCTAGAAGTGACAGTATGGCCACAGCAGCTGCAGTGGATGGAAAAAACATTAGACGCATGTTCTGATATAAAATATATTCCCTTTTAAGTCACTTGTAAAAGAAAATAAAAATAGAAAAAATGTGATGAGCATCATGAGAGACTTCCAACTTACAGACACATAGCTGGCATTGATGTAATCAGATCCTGGAATGCCAGCATCAGCTATCAGCTTTACTCTGTTGTTATTATCTATAGCAGAAATAAAGTCTATTTAATTGAGATGTTTACTTGTAAACTACAGTGACATGCATCAGATGTTGCTATGATGCTGAGAATTCAAAATTAATGTTTACATTTGTTTAGCTAATTTTATTAAATCTACATTGGCAAAATGGTACAGTAATTGCAACTCACAAGAACTATTTATCCGTCCTGTTTTATTGTATAATGACTCTCCTTCCTTGCTCTTTACATTTCAGTGCGTTTTTCTCATGATGATTATTTCTAATGCAGATGTCTAAGGCCCCAATCCTGCAATCTGAGGTGTGCAGACAGACCTGTTGTGCCTTTGCAGAGCCAATTGACTTTGACGAGGTGGTGCAATGGTGTTGCGGTCTTCTGTGTGGATCAGACTACAAGACTGGGCCTAATCATTTGTATTTGTTTGTTCTGTTATATTTTACCACCATCAGGCCACATCCTAGATGTCCTTATTGAACTTTAACTCATTCTTTAGCAAGGCAAACCCCTATTATAGGAAGTCAGCGTAAGTGAGAACTGAGTAGAAAATGAGGAAGGACCTCAGAATTTGTCCCATTATAAGTATACAGAAGCGATGAAAAATAGGAAGGATGTCGTGTGTGAAAAAGATTCCGAATAGGTACATGCTGAAATCAATTATCCATTTCCTGACATTTGCTTTTGCAAAACAGTAAAAAGAAAGGATATCATAAAACGAAAGATTTCTGAAGCATTTCTGACAATGTTGTTGGGTAACATGAATATCAGTTTTTAGCAATTGTAAATTAGAGCACAGAATATGTGTTGAACCAGGCAGCAGATAACAGGAACAGCTGTTCTGTAAAGTTAATAGCACAGAATGTAGCTACATTAACAGAGGAATGCCATGCCCCCCATCTCACATCACAGTTAATGCTTAAAATAATAATGGCATTTCTTGTTTTATTAACTGAAAAATGAAGCAGTGTTGAGTAGAGAGACAGACTCCTGTCTCCTGTGATAAAATCTAGCCTTGGCTTATAAGTTATCATACAGTCACTCTGATCTTCAATGGAATCTTGCAGCATATTTGCAAGTAGCCGCAAGAAAGCATCACCAGGCTCCCAGGGAAAACAAATGCATAAACATGTGGATTTTACACTTAACTTACTTTTTAACTAAGGGGAAAAGTCCAGGAAGAATGCTACCTGGGTTAAATTACAAAGCTAAGAAACTATTTGGGCTACAATTTCTTGCACCTGCATGTTAAAGCTTGTGAGAGCAAGTTGAAAGCCATTTACAAATAACCCTTACTCAAACAAGGGAACAAAAACAGACTAGTTGATAGTAAATTGTAATATAACATGTACATTATTATAGTAACATATCAGACAGACCAAATGAAAAATTCAGATGCATTCCAAACATACACTGTACTTCTACAGTTAGAGAGTAAAAAAGAGAGACCAGTTAGTAAAGACATACATGGCTTTATGTTTGGAAAGCGATTCTTAGACCTGTTCCAAGGCAGATCAGCATCAGTTGAAGCAAGGTCTTGAAGAAACTTGGGAAGTTCCTGTAAGATAATGTATATTTGTTAGAAAGCCTTTACATTTGCTTTGTGCTCAGTATTACAAATAGATCAATAATATAATTTCCCCTCATCTGGTCACTCCAGTAAAAGGAAGGACTTTTCAGTTCTATGATATGTTACACTTCTAAGGGCAGCTGGAAACATTGCAGAAGCATTTCACCTCACCGTCAACCCTAGTTACATCAACAGTGTCAGATGCAGAGCTGCAGAAAACACTGTCAAGTTGAACAATTTAAGCTTACATGAACTTTCACCTTTAAAAGTCTGGATAAAGTCAGACCATCACCTTTTGTGTTTTTTCCTGCCTTTTCATGATGCCATATAATGTGGTAACAATGTCTTATGTGTTTCAGAGTAACAGCCGTGTTAGTCTGTATTCGCAAAAAGAAAAGGAGTACTTGTGGCACCTTAGAGACTAACCAATTTATTTGAGCATAAGCTTTCGTGAGCTACAGCTCACTTCATTGGATGCATACTGTGGAAAGTTTAGAAGATCTTATTATATACATACAAAGCATGAAAAAATACCTCCTCCCACCCCACTCTCCTGCTGGTAATAGCTTATCTAAAGTGATCACAGTTTCCACGGTATGCATCCGATGAAGTGAGCTGTAGCTCACGAAAGCTCATGCTCAAATAAATTGGTTAGTCTCTAAGGTGCCACAAGTACTCCTTTTCTTTTTGCGAATACAGACTAACACAGCTGTTACTCTGAAACCTCTCCTTACAATGTGTATGATAATCAAGTTGGGCCATTTCCAGCACAAATCCAGGTTTTCTCACACACACCCCTCATACACACAAACTCACTCTCCTGCTGGTAATAGCTTATCCAAAGTGACCACTCTCCTTACATTGTGTATGATTCAGCCTTACTTTTGAGTAATGCCTTTTCCTAATGCCTGTAGCTTGGGAGAGCTCTTGCCACAGCATGAGAACCAGTGAGCATTTAATCAAATAGAGACAACTGGCAATTAGTTATTGCTTACTGACCTGTTCCTGAGGGGGTTGGACAGAGTTATTTGGGTTCAGTAGCACAGTTTCATAACTGTTCATGAATTCTATTACTCAGGGGCAGAGATGGGTGAATCATTTGCAGGGAAGAACTTATTTGATCAAATTATATTATATATAAAAGCAGAACCTAAAAGGGTGAAGAGGAAAATATTCCATGAAGTCTGCTATGGGCCATCAAATGGAGACAAAATTTATGTGTGATTATTAATTTACCATGGTGATGGGCAATACAGACAGAATTTACCCACTTCCTTCCATTTGAAAATTATCCACAACCAGACTAACTTTCATATTTTTGTTCATTATTTGATGAATGGTTTACATAAGTATATTTCAACCTATGGATTGCTCACAAATGATTAGCTGTACCTATTGTTTTAACTATTTGTTATTTATAATTTGCCATTTGTGCTGTGTAATTGATCATGTCTTTCACTTAATATTATTTCTGCTCCCTGGCTGAATTATCCCCAAAGCCAGAAGAGCTTTCAAGATAGCTGTGCAAACAACCTGACGTGAATTCTTGTCAAATGCAAATCTGCATGAGGTTTCATGATAGTTTTCCCTTCTGTGAATATTCTTGTGACCAGAATTTCATGTACAGTTATTCACAAACAGCAAATAATATAAATAAAAAATAATGTCAAAGAGCAATGGTGTTTGTTATTTAAATAATTTTTCACAAATACTCATTTTAAGCATTCACCCAGACCTACTTGGTGTCTTCAGTTATAGAGGACAACATAATTTACTGTACTTCATTTTCTTATTAGATTTTATTAATATTTATAATAAAATAAAACAATTGCCATAATGAAACAAGCCACCCAACAATAAGCAAATTAGTCCATCTAGTCCAGTATTGTACGTCCAACAATTGTTAACATCTGATGCTCAGACGAGGGTTCAAAACCATCACAGTGCATCATATGCTGTACAATTATATTCAATGGGAAATGTCATCCTCCTTCCAGCTAATGAGAAGTCTATGCCCTGAAACAACAAGGCTGGATGGCCTTTATAATTTTATCCTTGATAGTACAACTGCAGGTGCTATTCTTCTAGAAAGAAAGGATGGTCTTATGGTTAAGGCACAGGATTCAGCGTTAGGAGACCAGGGTTCTATTCTTAGTGGTGCCATGCTCTTCTCATGAAATCACACAGGAGGAGATTTGCAAAGAGCAATTAGATGCTCATCTTCCATTGAAAATCAACGAGAATTGTTTCAGAGTAGCAGCCGTGTTAGTCTGTATTCGCAAAAAGAAAAGAAGTACTTGTGGCACCTTAGAGACTAACAAATTTATTTGAGCATAAGCTTTCATGAGCTACAGCTCATGACTCACTCCCATTTGTGCCTTTGAAAATCTCTCCCTTAATCTCCATAGGCCCATATGCCTCTATACAACTCAGTGATTTTATTCGCCCTCTTTCCACAGAAAAGGTTAGCAATTCACCCTCTAAATTTACAAATCCCCTTACATATAATAGTTGACATTATTAAACTTACCTCAATGTATGTTAAAGGATTAAACAACATGGTTACCAGACACAAAGTTAATACAAAACTAAAGAAAATGCTATCACATATTACAGAACACGCATGTTAAGAAAGAATAGATTTAGCTACGGTTTCATCTCCTAATTAATACGGTCTCTTGTAAATCTTGCCCTGGATTAAACCTGTGGCCATTCCCAAAATTGATTCTTTCTTCACAGTTAATTGTGTTTCTCTCTTTTGTAAATAACATTTTAATTTATAAAACAGTAATGCCCTGATCTTGCAACTGGGAGGACCCCTGCACCCAGGTAGAGCCCAGTTGATTTCTAGGAGTTGAAATCAGGATGCAATAATGGCAGGAAAGTAAAGCTGGAAATGGACAAGTTATAATTTCCTGTATTCATAAAAAGAAAAGGAGTACTTGTGGCACCTTAGAGACTAACCAATTTATTTGAGCATAAGCTTGCATCTGATGTAGTGAGCTGTAGCTCACGAAAGCTTATGCTCAAATAAATTGGTTAGTCTCTAAGGTGCCACAAGTATTCCTTTTCTTTTTCCAATGTAGTGAGCTGTAGCTCACGAAAGCTTATGCTCAAATAAATTGGTTAGTCTCTAAGGTGCCACAAGTACTCCTTTTCTTTTTGCGAATACAGACTAACACGGCTGCTACTCTGAAACTTGTATTCATAAAGGGTAACATTCTCCTTTCTTCACACAAAGCTTCTGTAATTGGCTTTTGTGCGGGAAGGTAAGCAGGGGTGTTAGGAGGAGGCATTCTCCTAAGGTCTCTGGCTATTTGCAGGAGTTTGGGCCATTATTTCCATGTGAAGTGCACCGTAAGCCTGACTTTAACTTGCTAATTTGAGTCTGCAGCAGAGAGCTCTCTGCAGTGTGGAGCCACCCTGTGTTGCTGCTCTAACGACGCCCACTTGCCTTGATCTGCCCTATCACGGCTCTTAACTGGTGCTAATGGCCTTATGCCAGCTCTCTGCACCAGGATGAATTTCACCCCAACTGATTATTTTAACACAGGATAAAGACTATTTGGAGTCTCAAATTCAATGATGATTTGTTACAGAAGGAATTTTTCTCTGTAGGCTTATAAACTTTACAGATAGTTCATTTATGCTGTATATATTAGATAACTTTTATGGGAATATGGGGACTTTTGTTGGAAATTATATTTGGAGGTAGTTGATGTGCTTATTCATTAATAGCACTTAGAAAATATATTGTCAAATACTCACCATAACAGTATCAAATACTACATAAGCCTGATTTTGCATAGGTCTCAGGAGACATGCCAAACCTTTAGAAAACTGAGGGTTCAGAAAATGGGTGAAGCTGGCCCACCACCAGTTAGCATGGCTCCTTACAGCCTTCTTGTCTGCACAGTTGACTGATATGCCCTCCATCAGGAGCACAACCTGCCCCTGAGTGCTGGATGGCCTCGGATAATCCATCTGGCAGATCTTTGCTACATTTTGGACTTGGGGAAGCTGACGTACATTATAAACCCAAGGGGCACATAACAATTTTGAGTATGTCTACACTGTATTCTAAGCCTGGGCTCTGACTCAGATTTGAGCCGAAGTCTTGCTTCTGTTCACACATAAATCTGTCTGATTTGAATTAACAAGCACTCAGGACCTGGGTCCTAGGATCATACTAGGGAGTGGGTCAGAGCCCAAGTCCTGCTGGGACTTGGGCGCAATCCCTGTCATTTTGCAGTATATTTGAGTCATGAGATCTGCATGGTGCAGTATGGACACGTTAGCATGGCTGAGAGATCTGCATCCAGCAACTCTAAGCCCAGATTTACAATGCAGCGTGGATGCTCAAGTGTGGGCTTGGAAACACTGATTTCATAAGCCTAGGTCCCACTAACCTGGGTTTACAATGCAGTGCAGACATACCCTTGGTTAACTAAGAGTTCAGTCAATAATTTGGTTAAATTATTCTCTAAGTATTTGTCTAAGTTTTAAAAAATGCTCATATTACTACTACTTGAGAGAACATTACGATTTATGTTAGATTTTCAGTCATTTCAATGCTGTAACCTTTAACCCTATAATTGTTGTGAAACTTTAATGTGTAAAAGGTAACGTTAGAAACTTTCCAGTGATGAACTTTAAAATGTGAAAATGTCATTGCTAGGAAAACTTTTCATCTGCTCAGTCATGCATAATATAATTATAATCGCTCCTGTTCTAGTGAAATAACACTTCTACTCCTGAAAAAAAAGAGCTTCCTCTGCATTACTGCTCAGAAGAATTTTATGGTGCTTTTTTATTATTATTAAATCCAGTCCAATAAGACTTAAGGAGCATAGCCAAAAAGCTGTAGGAAATACCATTAATCTTTTCACACTTTTGTTGTTGTTCCCTGAGAAACTGAAATATTATAATCTAGTAGTATAAAAGTCTATTGTTTGATTCTTCATTTTTATAAATCCAAATAGTAAGCAATTCATGACAAATCTATAAATCCAAAATGGTAAAGTCACTGGAGATTGACAAATTATTTTTGTAACGGCAAATAACTGCATGTGTTAGACATGATGATGATAAAGATTCTGAAATAACAAAAAGAGCAGATAAAGTGTAAAAAATAATTTAAATGTGATAGCCATAAAAGAGAAGTTACTTAAGAAAACAGTGAAAAGTTTAGTTGAGGTTTAAATGTAGTTTTGAAATTGTATATTTATTATATAGCTGTCATGTGTGCTTTGAAAACTAATCATTTTTCAACAGGAGTCAGATGACTTGCAGAGTTACTGGCTCAAATGCTGCTGGCCATAGTCACATGAGCAGTTCCAGTCCCACTGAGGCTCTTCATAAGAGCAAGACAAGTAGGATTTGGCCTATTATTTCTAAAGAAATGAAAGTGTATTGCCCAGTCTTGCTCCCATTGAAGTCAATAACAAAATTCCCATTGACTTTTATGGGAATATGATCGGGCCTTGAACTTTTCACAAAATAAATGTCAGCTATGTATATTGGGCTTTTATTCTTAGAGCAAATGATGTTGCTTAAAGTGCTTAGGTATATCTGAATGAAACCTGTATACGATCAGTTACAATCCAATACATGTCTTATCCTGATCTAAGCATAAAGATCTGATAAATATTTTTTTTCAAAATTGAACAATATCGTGATACGTAAAGCAAAAACAAAAAAAATAGCTGAAAACAAAATATTCTCAAACTACATGAAATATTGCTACAATTTTTTAGATTTATCACTTTAATGTCACAATCTAGCTAACTACTGAGGATGGTGTCATGGCAGGAAGAGCTAAAGAAGATCATCTTTTGCTGACACACTAAGGTGAATAATTCTGATCAGGTTGCAATGAAGACTGCACAACCTAAATCAGTGTAATATTACTTTCTAAACAATCAACCTAGTAATTGGGTATTGATTATCAAGGCCAGAGTCCTTCATGGCCTTGCATGCTTAAAATGGACATGAAATGTGACACATGAAACGACTGGAGGTCTTGCAATGTTGTGACAACTGCTAGTAACATACCGAAAATTCTTCTTGAAACTTTAGGTTGTTATCTGTGCAAAGTTCTTCAACATGTTGTAGGAAGGATTTCTTGCTTATTGGCCTAGAAGTAATGACAGAGGAGTTAGACGCATGTGAAAGTTGGGTTTTGGTTTGTTTGATTTTCATTTAACCACTGGCTTATCAAAAGAAATTGTTATCCAGTTTAATAATAATTGATACTTACAGAGATAAAATAACATTATATAAATCACTAACAGTGTGATTATTTGATTTGTTTAGAGCATTTCAAAATAAGCGCATCTTCTCGCTCAATTACTCCTTCTGATCTAGTTTTTGGCTTTAACGTCAAAAGTTTAGGGGAGTGGGATTGTTTTTTAATAAATTTAGCATTCCAATGCAGAGGTTTGATATTATGAAGTTTGTAAGGTTATCATTGTATTCTAAAGTACATAATATCTCTTTGTTGCACAGAAAACATTGCAAGGTTTTAGACGTATAAAATATTGCAGTGACCTCATTCTCATAATGACATGGTTTTTAAACCCCAAGGAGTTTAAATATCCCTGTATTACTTCCCAAGCTAAAACACAGACATGCAGGCTTCACCCCAGAGAGAGAGAAAGCATTTCTCCAGTTACCATGCAATTAGTCATGCTTTTATGATTTATACGCAGCTTGGAGTTTTTTCTAATAAACATAGAAGAAGGAACCACACATTCACACTCATCAAACTAGTGAACTGATAGCCATAATAGAAAAATCTTTAATCAACTTACTTGATGGATTTTCTATAACTAAGTAACCTGTAACAGAGATTGTGTTAAATGCAGTAAGTCAGAGAATAAGAGTGCATTCTGATAAGGCTTTAGATGCAAAATTTAAATAACTAAAGAATCAGAACTAAACTGATTTCTTCCATGGATTGGGATAATATTGTATTTTAGATATCTTGGATAACTGTGTTATTGAGCTCTTACTTTATGTATTTATAAGTATAGCTGATACAGTTTCAGCCTATTATTCTCTTCAGATCATTTTACCAATGTTCTGTGGTAAAAATGCTCACTGGCCCAAGAAATCCATACATCAGGTACACTGCTTTACTTACATTGGTCATCCCATTGTTTTGCATTAAGGATATAGTATAAAATGAAATGTGTTAATGTCATTCTTTTAGGGGCAAATTCAGAGACTCACTGTCAAGCCCAAGTAGCGCAGATGAGCATTTGGGTGATAAAGGAAACCTGCCTCCCAGACCACATAGCAGCTCTGGGGATGCTCAAGAAGGCTACTGAGGGCAAAAAGCCCTTTGTAGCTCCAACATGTGCCCATCTTTCAAATCTGTGAGTTTTATGACTATATAGAAGTTAAATGGCTAAAGCCAAGATTTTCAAAAACCGATGAGTAGGTTCCCAACTCCATATTTAAGCCCCTATATAAGTGGACTAACTTCAATGTGAGTTTCTGAGTGCTCAGTAAATTTGAAAATCAGGCTACATATTTAGGCTCCAAAGGCCGATCCTAGAAGGCTATTTCATATTGAGGCACACTGCAGGATCAGGGCCTACATGTTCTATTTTCTTCTGTATAGGTTCTTATACTGTGCTTATCACCATTGTATCTGAGCACCTTCCATAGGTGCATCAAGCACTATCAATTTAGGGCCCTAATCTCTAGCAAAGAAATTCAAAATGAAAAATTTTGGTCCTTCAAAAATTTATACCTTTAACATTTTTCTCTCTAAAATCGCATAAGCTTGGAAATTAAACCAATTAAAATGTATTCAACATATTTACCTCTGGAATACTTTAAGTAGTGTAAATAATCATATGGCTTTCCTTTAATAATCTTATTAAGAATTTGGTTTTGAGAAGCTATACTTTAACATTTTTTAGAAAATCACTGTCTCCTATCCTTTGTAATAAATATATTTTAGAAAAAAGACAAATGGAAATATGAATGAGAAACAAAAACAATATTAAAACAACTGAAGAGCCATATACTATTAAATTATCTGCATAACACTATAGAAATTAATGTCAAGGCTATACTATATGTGCACTGGCGACACATGTTGTGTTGATATGGTCATTTTCTCAAAACAATGTAAAATGGCTAGTGCAACCAAATTACAGGAAATCCCTATCCAAAATAAGGCTTATAAAGAACTTGATTTCTATCCCATTGGAGTTAAAGGGAATTTTGGAACTGACTTCAGTAGGAGCAGGATTACACCCAAAGTGCCCAACGAGGACAGTTAAGGCAGAGGTACAAATCCCGAATGGGCAGAAAAAGGGAGTGAAGAATGATAAAGCATTGACACCTTCTGCATGAACACAGAACTTCCCTTTGGAGTCTGTTCACAAGTTTCACTAGCACTTATTGCGTTCTGGTCTTACTTTATGGCCGAGCCAGCATTTACTTGGCACATAAACCTTGGCAGCTTCACAGAGCTAAAGTTTTCTCAAGGAGAGTCTATTCTTAACTAATTACGCCAATGTATCGGGCACAGATATGCTAGCCTTTGAACGTCAGGCACTCCTCCCTCTTTATAATTTTATTGGACAAAATTCTTAGCAGATTCTGCAAAAAATGCTGCTTGCTCTTCCTTTTTGTTTGAATCCCCTGTCTTCCCTTTGGAGCAATGGAATAAAAGTCACGTCCCAATCGACATCCCAATAATTTCTGAGATTCTGTTGTCTTCAGTCCCCTGAAATTGCTTGTGATTAGTAACTTACTGCACTGGTAGTTCTGTTGTTTGGGAATTGACATTCAATTTACACATCACATGACCAACCAGAATATGACATTTAGCGCCTTTGTACTCAAGATATAGTGGACCCTACAGCCAAGAACATTGAGACGGGACCATCACCAACATCCTTGGCACTCTCATTGGCTGTGCAACAAGGGAAGTCAAGCACTGAATAGGCATGGAGACAAAACGTGCTTCCTTCTAGTTCACATATGCGTTGCTAACCAGAAGATTTCTATGTTCAGTGGTGGTCATCTGGCACCTTTCATAAGCACTAAATGTTTTTTAAGTAGTTGGGCCAATTGGGTGCCTCAAGTTTGACACTTACCTCCATAATTAGACACCTACATGAAGGATCTGATTTTCAGAAGTACTAAGCTTTCACAACTCTCTGTGGAGCTAGTGGGGGGATACAGAGAGGCTCAGCACCTGTGAAAATCAGGCCATTTAGTACCCATATGTGCATTTAGATGTGCGATCTGCGGCTTCTGAAACCTTGTTGTATAAGGAACTTTACAATGAGTGAACTGTGCCATGATGAGGGTTCTCATCCAAAATAGCTCAATGGAGTTTTGCATAGCACAATTATGCTTGGTTGTAAACTTTCAGGGGTTTAAAAAGGCAGCTTATTTTTCTCAATATTTCTAAAATGAAACATTGTGATAAGAGGTAATAGTTTCATCTTCTTACAGTATTTTTAATGCACAAACACTAGTCTGCTAACAGCGCAGCTTCACTCACTTTCCAGTCTCCTGTATGAAACATCATGATGCAAATATCATCAGATCATGAAAAGTACAACTCATACTCAGACTATAAAGTGACAACTTCCCCGATTTCAACAGGATAATTTAACATTTCCATTTACTCTGCATTTAATGGGGGGAAGTAAAGCATTCTCTAAGCTAAAGAATACTTTGTTGCCTTAAATCTGATTTTCTTTTTAAACAGTGTATTGTTTCACATATGGGAGTTTTTGAAGTCTATCAAAAATCTGAATCCCACTCAGATTACTTCTGATAGACTTAGAAAGAAGCCATTTATTTGTGTTGGCAATGGTAACTGAAGACCATATAGTGACACAGACTCGGCTTTCTCTCTGGGTCAATCAGTTGAAATCTATAGGGAATTAAAACTTTGTCCAAATGGAAAACCACAGAAATGAATATGTAGACTAAAGGCTTAACTCATAAGCACCACTGACACTTGCTTGGAATAACTGAAGAATTAATTTTTAACAAGTTAATTGAGACCTACATAGGGCTTAACCCTTCACGAGTGATCAAGGGCAACGGGGAGAGGATACCAGGCCCATTCCCTTCAACTGCACAGTGGCTAGGCAAAATCCTGGTCCTTGGTACACTAAACTGAGGGAATCTAGCCCTGACAGTTGCACTAAAACCTTTATAAGGGGCATGCAGGGGCAATGATATCACCGTGTCCTCTACCCCGCAACCCCATCCACAGAAGAGCTGGGCTGACATGGGCAAAGGGAGAGTGTGCCCCGTATGTTTTAAAGGATGTAACAGATGCTGTTGTTGTATGCATGTCCCCCCATCACTTCACAAAGCATTGTATCTGCCTCAGGCACAATGCATCCAGGAGCTGCTGCTAATATGAAGCCCCTCCTGTCTTATGCACAAATCCGTGCAGACAGGGACTTAAAACCATAACCTACTCCTGTCAATCCAAACTGTCTGGGTTAATGTCAGCCAGGTAGGTGGAGAAATGGCCTTTTTTTGTGGGTGGAGAAATGGCCTTTTGTTGCATATCTGTAGTCCCTTGGTCATTCTGTGTGAGTTGTGTGCCAATGTCAGTTGTGGCAGGGTAGCTGCCACACATAAGCTAGCTATCATATGAGGCATTGTTGGGTAGAATGTTCCTTGAACATGCAATGTTCATAGAGTACTTTCAGCGGATGCCTCACCAGATCTCATAGCCCTGATGCTCACATTCCTCTTACATATGGTTTGCATGGATGGTGGGTGCAGTTAAAATATTTTGTTTTTATCTTTTTACTGGTAGATAAAGAAGATTTTATTGGTTTAAGTAGGTAATCCCTACATGTATAATGGAGAGTGCTGCCAGAACCAGTAATATCTTATCTACTGGTCAACAAATAAAAGAATTCTTTGTAGGCCAGATTCTCTGTTCCTGTGCAGAAATGGAGGAGTAAGGATGAGACAATGGTGGCTTTAAGCTACCTCTGGATCTTCTCTATTCTTGACTGTGCCTCATGAGTACTCTAATTTACACTCAGTTGTAACAGCCTCTCAGGGCCCTTCTGCAACCAAGAATAGCTACAGCACAGTATTCTCAGGCCACGTCCTCTCCTTTCCTCAGAAAATCCCTGGCATACCTCTATGCCAGGAGGTGCAAGGGATGGCAGTCAACTTTATGCCATCCAGGAATATCCCCGTGCAGGCGTATTCCCTAAGGCCCATTTTCACCATGTTTACAGCCCCTTTACATCAGAGACATGTGAAGGGACTGTAATAGAAGAGAGAATCTGTCCCTTTAACTGGACTGTAGATCATGACAGTGTTGGTTATGAACAAATGCTGCATGGTCTGTGCGATAAATTGGGGATATGTCTGTGTCAAATTGTGAATGCCATTTTGTTTTGTGAATGCCATTTTGCTCCCTGGGCTCCTCCTGAGAAGCTGGTACAGAGAAATCTAGTGCCATCAATTCTAAATGTCGCTCCACTACCAAATCCATCCACAAGAAAAATGAACTCTCTGCACAGGAACTTGGATGGGAGCTGGGGTGGAGTTTCTCAGCCTGAATAAATGACCAAAAGGGTCAGAGATTATATTTAAGTGGGACTTCAAGTACTTCCAAGAGTAAAATGCCTGTGGTTATGAAATATCTTTGCTAAGTCTGCATTCCTTGCTTGCCTGCCATGTTGTCCCTGAAGGGGTTAATCAAGAAGTTCAAAGCACCCACAATAAAGTGGAACACTGAGGGAGTGTGTATAAGCAATTGGGGGCTCAGGAGGGCTGGGACACTCATTTTGGTGTCTAAGGCAGCTGGACTAGAGAGAGTCCCACAGCCCAAGTAGGGTGTCAGACACTGGGTCTGCTCCTGACAGACCCAGAACTATGAACAATGACCAGTCACTAGCCAGACCCATGGAGTTTAAAAGCACATAGGATCTGGAGCTTGATTCCACTCACCACAGATTGGGATCCACCCAGAGAAGTGGATTGGACCAGGTTGTGAGAGGCTGCAATAATCAGGAATTGATATAATCACATGTATACATATGCTTGGTATGCTTGATGAATCCATTCAATGTTTCTACCTAGATAGATTGGCTGGATTTGATTTAAACAATCCTTGATCTGTTCAGTTCTTGCCTGTCTCCTATCACTTAAAGAGATTAACATGTCGCCACTACTCTCTCATGTTAGTATTTTAGGAATTATTCCCTTCCAGCACATTGCAAGAATCTGGCACATATGTATCAGATATTAGTGTGTCTGTGTTAGAGCTAGTCGGGAACTTTTCTGAGGCAACGTTTTTTGTTTTGTTTTTTTTGCTGAAAAATGCTTATTCGTCTAAACCTGAACTGTTCATTGAAAAGGGTTGGTTTTTTGTTGTTGTCTTTTTGTTTGTTTGAAACAACTTTGTTATGAAATTTAACGTAATTAATATTAAAAATGTTTTTGAAAAGGTTGAAAATGAAATGAAATACTTTGATTGGCCCAAACCAAATTTTTTTCAGTTTGTTGGTTCACAATTTTATTTGATTTTTTTGAGATTTTGAGTTTTTGGCTCAATTCTGGGTGGGGAAAAAGTTTTGAAATCTTGGAAATTTTCACAAGATGGGACAACTACTTTCCACCCTGTCCTACTCATTGTATGGACCTGTTCCGCATGTTCCTGACTATCCGAGCCAAATAATCTTCTATGCTAAGATCCGCTGCTGGGAATAGGAGAATGTGTGGGTATGTTGGAAGGTTTTTAGGGTTTCAGTTCTCTGATTCCAACCTACGCCACCTCAGTTCTCTGATTCCAACCTATGCCACCTCAGCTCCAAGGCTGCTCTAACTTACATCAAATGATGTACGGTAAGCCAGATGACAACTGGCAGAGCACTGTGTTGTGCAACACCCCGCTTGGGATAGGTGGGTGGTGCAGGAACTGGCTGTGCTGGCTGTACATCAACTAAGATTTCCCCCATGGTGAGGGGATACTTAGCTGGCCAGTTACAGAACACTGTTTTCAGTGCTTCACATTATATAGGACAAGCAGGAAATGATACATATGGACAGATTCCTTCCCCAACCTGGCTCATTTATGCTGGTTAGATGGCACAAATGAGTGAGAATCTGGCAGTGATTTGCTAACTATCCCCTCACTATTTGAAAAGCTATGGCTGAGCAATTGACTATGTTCATGTAATAATTCAACCAACTCGTGACAGTGAGGAAGTGCAGAAATAGGGAACTAGTACCATATTCTGAATGTTCAATTCATTTGCGATGGTCTCAGTGCAATCATCAGCACGAAGCATTAGAACTTAACATGCTAACATGGCACCTTTACATTCCATATCACTCTTATTATATCAGAGCCAGAAAATGAAAGTGCCTCAAAATAAAGTAATTGGTAAGGTAAGGAAAAATGCTGAATTACTGCTCAGTAAAGTCTCTGCTGTGCATACATCACTTAACAAACTGCACATAAATATGAAATATTACAATTTTGTCCTAACCTGCAGGGTTTGACATTGTATAAATCCAAATTGGACATAACTTAGACAGAGCAGTGGTAAAGTGGAATTCTCCCATGTAACATGGGATTTGATCCCCTGGAATTTTTGCTGAGATCTTAATGGGATGCTTTCTGGTAGCATGGACAGTACAACAAGCAGCTGAGGAGAAACAAAAGGATTTCTCCTGAATATGCAAATTCTAATGCTTGAAGAAAAGTGTAAGGCCCAGTTTTGAACTCACAGTGGTATATGAACTCTAATTGTGCTGTCTACTTTTTGTATGTCTGCTGAGGTTAGTCTGACATAATTTCTGTTAAAAATTGCTCTAGTTTATTTTAGAATATTTGCAGAATTATAGTGTCTTAACATTAATCACTGAGATCAAAGATGATATGTTGACAAATTCAATCATTTGTCATTAGCATTACCATATAATGGTATAGTATAGTATAGGTTGCTAATACTAATTTCATTTTCATTACCAAGAACACATTTTGGAAAATTATTTACTTTGGACAAAGATCAACAACGTATAGTAACACACAAGTCACACAACATTATGGAAACCACAACATGTCTCTTCAACAGTGCAATAACTTACTGGATGACAAATATCTCCTTGCGTCTAAAGAAAAATGAGGAGTATCTGGAAGTAAAATCCATTAATAATTTAGTACACAAACAAAAACGATATTGTTCTTATTTTGCTAGCAATTTTCAAATGTATACCTTGTAGGAAACGTCTCAAATTAATGATCTTTTTTGATCCATCAAGGACATTTATCTGGTTTACAGCTACAAAGGTGCAAAGGGTTGTGTCCGTCTGTTGAAACTGAACATCTCCACTACTGCTAACGGGTATTAGACTATATTATCTAAACAAAATGTTGCACAATGCCCACACCAGGTGCATTGCATTCATTAGCACCAGAGGACTCCCAGTACGTTTGACCATGTGCTGCAAGTGGCACACATTTGAACAGCTTTATAATGCAATAATACTTTTTTGCACCATACACGTAGCCATAAAACATTCAAAACAAACAGGTCAAGAGCTATAGGTTTTCATCTTCAAGCTACCCGTAGTCTGCAACAGTAGGATGATTAACTCCTAGGGCAAGGTAATCTTAGGCTTCCAATCTTTAAGGAGATTGCCTGCCACAGTGCTTTCCATTCTATGTACTGTGTGACACAGTAGGGAAAATACAGCCATGTCAATAACATTTATCCAACATTTGCTAATTCAGTCATAGCACACTGTTTCGAATGTTCATGATATCTATCTGTGTAATAATGTGGCAATTTCTGACTACCAAAAGGAACACAGTACAGTTTCCCCTCCAAACAATACATGGGGCAAGAATCTCTGTCACTTTGTGAAAACCCAGGAAATCTGGCCAGGTGAGTGACCTAGGGCTACTACATGTTTCTCCAGGCTCTGGGTGTATAGATGTGGCCAGAGTGTTTTCTAGTTCCAGAGAAACTCAGCTGCAAAATTGGTCCCCTTGTGCAAAAACATTTCCTAAATGTCAATTAAACAATGATTATGTTACTGGTTGAGCTGAAAAAGACACAATTTAAGGGTTTGGATCTTTTGGGATGTTTATAAGTTTGCAATCCACAGAAAATAGTGAGCCATCAAAATACTGAACAATTTTCCATGTTTAAAAAATGCATCTCCTTTTGCCATCAGAATTAAAGGATGATTTGCACTTAGGTCTTTATATTTTTATAACTTAGATCTTTATCTTATTGTAAAAGATGTGAAGATTAAGTAATATTCTACTAGTCAGAAGCGTCTGGAGGATGGAGGGCACCCTTTGAAAGAGGATCTTAGTGACCTGTGTAAATAAGAACACCACAAACACTTCCAAACAAGCAAAGGTCAGAAAGGGGTCATGGCTACAGATCCTTTGGACTCCGGCTTTGCCTAAGGGGTATGCTTACCGAGTAAATCTCTCATCCTTCAGTTCCAGGTTTGCCACTGTGATCAACTGATCCAGCTTGAATTTAGTGTCAATAATTTCTGCATCCCGTGGGGAGTAGGTGCCTCCCTCTTTTTGCTTTTGTCGGATTCTAAACCAAAGATCATAACAAAGTTGAGAGTGAATGAGAAAGAATATTCAAATGATTTATTAATTACACATGAATTAGCAGGATAGATTCAGCCTTTCATAGAACTAGGAGTAGAGAAACTCTAGAAAAACAATGATACTTCCAGTTTTCATTCTGTGATGAGCATAGCAAAACCAGTAGCAATTTTACCCATCTCTTTGAACATTTTTGTCAGCAAGCATTTTAGCCACATTTTACTGGCAAAATTTTGACAATGGAGAAAGTCTTTCTCAGAAATTGTTACTACTTGGACCTGATTTTCCTCTCATTTTCACTAGTGTAAATCAGAAGTAATTCAACTGAATGCAATGGAGTTATACTAGTGTAAAACTTGTGTGAAAAGAGAATCAAGTCCTTATACTTCTTAACTCCTGTGTAAACTCTTGACCTCCATTTCTTATTTTCCTTCAATGCCCTGGTGAACTAGTAGTGGCAGAATAGCACCTGTGGCTACTGAGCGAATGAATGTCATTCATGCAGCAGTTTGACTACTTCTTCAACTAGGCATCTATGCATGCTATAGGTTACCTCACCTAGGGTCAAATTTCTGATTTCTCAAATACAGGTGTAATTCCAGATTAGACCCACTGACTTCAGTGGAGCTACTCTGGAATTTCACCAGTGTGACTGAGAACAGACTTTAACTTGCTGACTTCAAATCAAGCTACTCATCCTCTGTAATGGATGACAGAAGTTTCTATATGATAAAAAATGGTATTAAAATGCAACATAATTTAAGATACCAGGCTGGTTATATATGGTTCTAAGTATAGGATTTTTTCTTCTATATGTAAAGACATATTTGCATATAGATGAAAAAGAATGTGTAGTATTGTATATACAAAGAAGTCTTACCTTGCAAAAGCATAGATTGCCACCACAAGAAGAATTATGGAAAGTATACACAAAGTGACTGCAAGTATTATTTCTACAGCTCTTTCTGACAGTCCCTCACCTGCAACAGAAAGTGGGCAATACTGGGACTGAACATTTGAAGAACAAATATCTGAAGACTGGATCGTTCTTTGACTACTTCTGCAAACAAAAGGGAATTGAATCCAGCACATTTCTCGGGGGGGGGGAGCGTGGGAGGGGGAGTGGGATGAGGGAGCCCTGTGCTCCCTTTTTCCTGGCAGTGAGTAGGAGCTCTTCTGCCAAAGCTCAGCAGTTTCTGGGCATCACAGGATTTTTGAAGTGGGACCAAGAGTGGGTTGAGCAGAGGACCAGCTGCAACCTCACCAGCTGCTGAAACCATGCTTTTCCTCATGTAAATCCAAGGGGCATTAACTACCGCTGGGTCCTCTTCTGCAGCTGCCACCATGCACCTTGTGACAACACAACAGATCACTGCACAAGGCCATGCCTAAAGGGTAGGCCAGTAAAGTAGCATGGATGAGTCTGTTCTGTCTTCTCCGTGGAAACACTCCGCTTTCATGGGCATAGGCCTTCCCTTACCTGTGGAGCCCCAGGATCCACGAGACTGGGAAGCAGCGCTCCTTGTCTACTCTACAAACCTTCGCAACCTATCGATTACCTAGAAACTTGGGGAGACCAATCTCACTGAGCTTCATGATCCCTCTGCCTTCATCCCATGGGCCTCTCAAAGAAAATGAAATTCCAGGTATTTCATTCTGAAGACTTAGTAAAATAGGAGGCATTTACGGCAATAAAGCCACGTCCATTTACACCCAGAGAGGATGTGGCTTGTTGAATATTTGAAACTAACCCAGCAACACTTTATATGAAACTTCCCAGATATTAGTGGTCTTAGATACACAATATTAAGACATTCACAGAATGTTAAATAGACACCATGGTTTATTAAAAACTTCTTGAGGATTAACATCTACTGTACATAAAACAGCATACCAGTAACTGCATCACGTGCAAAGTTCAGCTGATATTTTACAAGACCATAGCAATTTTAATAAATCTAAATGATCAAATCTAAATGAGCATTGGGGTTCTCATCACTTTAAATAGTGTGGAACCGAAAAATGTATTAGAAAAATTGTGTTTGTGGCTCATTTCCACACCCATTTGTAATTCCACAGCCACCTCTCCTCCTATTTTCAATCATGTAAGAAGCTACCAACAATTGCTTACATGGAAAATTAATATGAGGAGAAAATTAATGTAATTTTAGCTTCCTTTTAATGCAATTTAGTAGTTGAAAACAAAGAACTAGCACCATGGAACCAGCCAGCTCCTGCAGATTATGACCCACAGGTTGGCAACTTCTTCTGTAATGCAGATCAAAAGTTATTATTTAGTATATCTGGTTGTATTTAACTGATGGTCACTGCACAGGGAATATTATCTTCTTGAGATAAACATGCAGTTCTCCTTCATAGTACCAGTTATGGAGATTGGGTGAAACCTCATTGATGCTGGTGGGTTTGACAGATGCCCTTCATTCAGGATAAATGTAAGCAACAGTTTAGCTTCTTCTTGGAGCAAGATGAAACAACAGGAGTCTCTGGCCAAAACACAGGCCCAAGTATGGCCAGTCAGAAGCTGAGCTATGTGGGCTGATGGGGTTAGCTAGGAATTGAATGTACAGGTAGCTAGCACTGTTTGGTGGAGGGCTGTGTGTAAAAGCTGAAACAATCAGAAGTACTGAGGAACAGTAAGAGAACAAGCAGAGAGAAGCAGCCAGAAAGCCAGGAAAACAGCAAGAGAAGCACTTGCAGCATGACTCTGTGGGTATGTCTGTACAGCAACTAGACAACCAACTCGGGCTCACAGTCCATGGGCTGCATGGCTGTTTCACTGCTGTGTAAATGTCTGGGCTTGGGCTGAAGCCCGAGCTCTAGGACCCTGGAGGGTGGGAGCCCAGAAGTTTACACAGCAATGAAAAGGCCCAGCAGGCCAAACCCTGTGAGCCTGAGTCAGCTGGTAGACATCCCTCAGAGAAAACCAAGAGAGGGCTTTTTGAACAGTGTGCTGGCTGGAAAGAGGCTTGGAACTGTGAGCAAAGAAACTGCCTCCTGTTGTTCAATTCCTACTGTATTCACAGAAACAGGATTTCGTACATTCTTTGTAAATTAACAGGATTGCATCACAGAAATACCCAAATCCATCCTCTAATTCTCCTTCAACTGGAAACAATCTGCAAAACCCTGAAAAGCGGTGAATCTCTTGGGTCAAAAGGGTATCAGGTCCCACACCAAAGTTTTGGAACAGTAATATCAAATCTGTTTTGCATCTGGCATTTGCTTATTTATATCACTAATAAAAATACTGTAAAGCAGTAATACTAAACCTTTGGTTCTCCAGCCACAGGTGCAGTTCTTCACACGTGCTCTTTAGGTTTGTCTGCACTAGACTTTACCTTAAGCTAATTGATTGTTAATTAACTTGAGATAATTAATACCTTTGTAAAGGCTCGTGTAGATGCTACCAGCATTGGCTGAACCCTCAGGTAAACTACAAACATGAGTAGCCTGGAACAAATGATTGGGGAATGTCCAGAGTAGAGCTGTGTGAATAAAACAGATTTTTTTGGCTCGCTGGCCAGACTGAAAAATAAAAAAAGGACAAAAAATATTTCAGATCAATGAAATTTGTTCAAAATTTTCAGTGAACCAAAAACTCATGAAAAAATTGTTCTGTTGAAACTGAAAGAAATGTTTTGTTTCATTTTCAAATTTTTTAAAATGTTTTCCAATTTTTTAAATAAAATTGAAGAACATTTTGAAAGGAAAATGTTTTTGAATTGAAAAATTCTAAATGATTTAATTCAGAAATGTTGAAATGAAACATTTCAATTAACCTGACAAACAATTTCCAACTTTGACACGAATTCACAAAATGTTAACTGTCGACCCAGAGCTGCATTTTTCATTAAAAAAATATTTTGGCCAAAAAATTCCACACAGCTCTAGTCCAAACTAGCTTTCACAAAGATCTTGATTATCTTGAGTTAGTTGCCAATCAATTAATTCAAAGTAAAAATCAAAAATATCTGGTCAAGAAAGTGCAAACAGAGGTGCTGGTGAGTACTAAGTAAATGAATTAGAGTTGCCAGAATCCTGTCTCGCTCTTTCACAACCCTCCAACAGAGGAGAAACTTTCTTTCTCCTAGCAACCAGGAAGAGGTTTGGAGCAGGGGAGAGGATGTGGAGGTGGGGAGGTAGTGGGAGAGGGACAAAATAGAGAGATAGAGACAAATGACATTGTGTTGCAAAATGATTTTGATCTGCTGTCACATCAATACATAATAAGAAAAGGAGTACTTGTGGTACCTTAGAGACTGACCAATTTATTTGAGCATGAGCTTTCGTGAGCTACAGCTCATAATGATACTGATCCACAAAGGGCCAATAGGATAATGCAAATGTCACATTGTGATAGTTTCATCTCTCTGTGGCCTTGACGTCACTAGGAAAAAGTGTTTTTGCTTTGTTTTGTTTTTACCAAGCATAAGGTAACACATGGTAACAAACATGTTAAAAATCTGGTGTGGACAAGGCAGTCTGTAATTTTCATATGTGTTAGCAGGTGGAGGTAAACCCTAGGATCCCCCCAATTGTTTACTGCCACCTGCTAACAGGTGAAAATTACAAACTGCCTTTACCACAATGGTCACCATGTGTTAGCTAAAACATAGTAAAAACCCCACCTTTCTTCCTAGTGTGGATACATCCTTTGTGGCCTAGCCATGACTAAATGACTTCCAAGCTCTTCCAGATTAGAATAGTGGTATTCACAAAATGGTTGAGAGGAGAATATACACTAAAATCTATTGTGCAGTTTTGCGTAAGTGAGGCACTCCTGCCCAAAACTAATTATTATGCTTGCTTTATCTGGCCAGGCAAGAGCCAGCTGTGATGCCATCATTCCCATGGAACCTTGGCACAAGGTAGTATTGGTACTGAAAAAGAGATCAGGAAACCCTAGGACTTGGAGAATTTACAGTGCTGTTTTTTGACTTCATGTCATAGTAAAGGCAACCATGTCTTGTCCAATTGTGGCACATGCCAGAGGAGCAAGTGGTGCAATTTTCAATAGTGCAAGTACAGTAGGGACTATAATTAACTATAGTATTTGCCTGTAAAGCATTTCATTCTGTGCTTGCCTGGATGGTTTCTTTAAGCCATTCAGGGGATTTCTGGTGCACAGGTACCTTGAAGGGGAAGGAAGGGGTTGCAATCACAACTCCTTTCATACTGCCCTGTCATGCTGGCCCTTCAGGGTATTTGCTTCAATGACTTTGAGTGTCAGAGATTTCTAAGGCAGAAAGCAGCATTTGTAATTTCTTTTTTTCCTGAGCATTCAGGGTCAGGGAAATAGACCATTCAGGTTGAGCACTAGCATTTGGGTACTTCCAATATGTGACACTTCATTTTCTAAGACAGATCAGGTGGGCTGGGGAGCTCAGAGGGCACAAGATGAGTGCACAGAGGAGGAAATATGTCCAGCAGCAGCCCTCTGCTATTATCTAGGGACTTCTACAGCTTGCTCGGGTTCCCTTTTCCAAGGGATGGTAGTTTCCTAAGTATCGGTTTACTATTTTGTTGAAGAAACCTATCAATTTCAAGGGATCTGCCCAAAGAAGTTTGAATCTCACTCCCTCAGGATCAGTGCAGCTGCTGCAGCAGGTCTGTGTGGTTTGGGGTCCAACAACAATTTTGCCATTGGCCAGTGACATCCAGAATTGTCTAGATTCTATGTTAGAACACCACTGGTTTAAGCAGAGCCTTGCCAATCTGTTTATGATTGATAAAAGTTGTTTATTTTTGTTTGAACCTGAAGGGTCAAGGGATCATGTCCACAGGATGGCTGCCAATTGAAGGAATGGATCACAGCTGAGACTCATCAAGAAGATCATGCAACTACTGTGGCATGACTTTGCAGGGCATCCTCTGGGATGAATGGATTTCCGGACTGTGCACTCTTGAGGTTAAGCTAGGCCCACCAAAAGTTGTGGTTATTAACTTAAAAGTGAATGATCTTGTAAAAAGGAGAGAGAGCAATTTCATAACTTATCAGATGCTTTTGAAATATTAAAATGTCTTTAATAAATTACGTTCTCCTTACCTAAAGTTTTGACAGGGTCAGAATAGTCTGAATCTGTAAACTGGCCTTTAACATTTGTTGCTCTGAACTTAAATCTGTAAAATAATTAAATAAATTCAGGAATCAAGTATTTACATACAAGTATTAAAATCATTCATTCAGTGAAGAACTAGTAATTATTCTTCATTCTGGGGAAAAATAACATGCAATCAGTATACTCCATATAATTTAAGAATCCTAATGTCAGCATGTTAAAAGTATACTGCAGATGCGTGAAATGGATAGTACTTATCTTGCACTTAGACTTGCTGAATTCAGGAAGAACAATCTTATGTTACTAAAACAAAAAAACTACCTCTCAGTTGTCTCACTTCTACAGTCCAGTAAAAAAAAATTAAGTATATGAAAATTTAAAACCACTTCATACAGAAAGTCCCAGTGTGCTTATGGCTTCTTGTGAAATCACTTTAGACCTCGCCTTTTCTTAAATATAACAATATATCTTAACAATATATCACCTTTGCATTTTGTCTGATTGTCACTCATATAAATGCATATTTTTGTTTAAACATTTTTTTTACTTAAACATTGACATACAACTTGAATTGTATACTTACAAGTACTGCTTTCTTGGTTTTAGGGGGCCGTTGCAGATTTTATCTTCACTCCCAGGTATCATGCATGTAGTATCAGCACCTATAACATACATATCTTCTTTGCCACTCAGTACTTCCTTTCCTTCTGTACAGGGTGGGTTTGGAAAGCCTTCATTTGTAAAATATGGCCTTGGTTTTTTGAAGTAGGCATCATACCACTTAGTAACATTTCCATCATGCTGAACTATTGTCAGAAGAAATTAATTATAAATCATTTCAATTCTAAACAGATTGCAGTTAAAGAAGGTAAACCAATGGTTGTATTTTCAGAAGCGCTTAGCACTCAATAGCTCCCATTTAAATACCTCAATAAGTGACCATTTTTCAAAAGTATGAATGGTATACACTAGTCCCATGGGACTACTCATATGAGCAAATGTTCATCAGCAAAAGCTCATCAGTTCACAATCTGACCCGTACTACACAAAATAAATTTACATGACTCCTTCCTGCTGTAAAAGAGAAATGTTATCTCGGCTGCATTCTTCTAACAGCAAAAAAATGGCTAAAGGAGGAAAAACTGCTAAATGGAACCTTCAGATATTTTAATTTCAGAGATACAGCATGTGTTATTTTTTAAAGGAAGTCATGAACAAAGAAACGGATAAACCCTGAAAAAGATAATGAGAAATAGTGTATGAGTGACTTCAACAACCAACAGCTACTATTTGTCAGCTGAAAAGGGTGAATGCCTTGGATAGGTTCCCTGAATCCAGTCTACAGCACACAGACAATGCTTCAGCTTTGGAGCAAGGAATGGTAGCAGAGAGGTACCACATGAATGACTTCTGGGAGTATTACAATTGCTGCAGTAACTGGTCAAATGTCTCCCAACATTAATTCTGCATCACCCAATAAAGGCAATAAGGGAACAGAGTAATAGGTCAAATGCAAGAAACTAAAAGGTACGAACAATTAGCAAAAGAATATAATAGCTTTCTCTACCTCCTGCTTCTGCAACAAGAACTTGTATTTTCTTGATAGGTCCATGATCATCATTATAGTAGCATACTGGCATTCTGATAGTAATTGTTGTAGCAGTAACAAGTAGCATCCCACTAGTATCAAAAACTGGTGTTGGTTTCTTATTAGGTCTTGGTGGCTCTGTTTTTAAACAAAAACAAGCCAAAATGTTTTGCTTTCTAATTTATTAATTGAAATCACTTAGTTCAAGCATGTAATTGTGTTATAAGATATAATCCTCTTATTTGGGACATTTTGGTGGACAGGCTAATGTCCTAATTAAGACGCCTATCCTGCAACGGGATACTTGAGAGGGTGAAAGTCTGCCCTCACAGATTTCCCCCTTTGCAGGATCAGAGTACAAGTGACAGGTTTGACTAAGAAAGAACACTGTTTAAAAAAAAATCTTAGCCTTAATTTTTCTATCTGTGAAATGGGGACAATGATTTTATTTGCTTCTCATGGATGTGGTAAGGTATAAGTACAGATGGTTCTATAGTCTATTTCTAAATGTCATGGTGAGGCATAACTAAATAATATTTGTAAAATGGTAAATTCGGATAACCTTTTTCACACTGAGTAGTACCTTATTCCATAAGTAGTCCCACTGTTTTATTGGTACTAATTATGGTATATGGTACAATTCAACTATCAGCAAGGTACTATATAAGTATCAAATATTATTAATCTGTAGCAGAGGCAGGAATAGAGCTCAGGCATTCAAGGCTCTCAGACTTATGCTCATTCTTCTAGGCAATGGACAGGAGGGAAACCCATATGCATGCACAAATTTACAGTAATTTTTTTTAGAGCTTATAGGGAACTCAGCAAAAAAGCATTTTATTATGCATACCTTTAATATCCATAGTTATTTTTAGTTGGATTTTTGGCCCTGCACCAGCACCATTTATTGCATACACCTTAAAAAGAAATGAACACTTTATTTTATTGAAAATCTGTGTTAAACTTAAATCAGCAAAAGCTAAATGTATGCTTTTTAAAGGAATAATGAATCCTGCAATTTTATAATATACATAACATGACAAGACTGAAGGGTTTCAGTGATAACATAAACCTTGGGATTGTTATTTACTTTATTCACGTGACCAGAATACACGATGGAACTAGAACCTTAATTTATGTATATATGGAGCAACATTATTTAAAATACGTATTAAAATTTCCCTACTAATTTAATCTCTAACTCCATTCGCTTGTACTCTCGGGAACACACTATTACACTTGCATGTCTCTCTACCTCTAACTCATTCCCTGACTTTTTTTAAATCCAATTTCAAGACCTAGCTCATCTTCCTAGCCTACCATGAAATCCTATTGCCTGAGCCTCTTAGTTTCTCTCCTGTTATATGGTCTTTATATCCCTCTTGACTCCTGTCCCTCTGCATATATAGATGCTACCTGTATGATAAATTATGATTAAAATAATCTATCTGCGTGTAAAGCTTGAAAGCACTCATGAAGCATTTTGTAGTACTTTTGTATGAAAGACAATATACAAAAGTAAATTGGATACTATTATCTGATTCTCCTACATTTTTTAAACTACATACCAGTGGACCAAATTCTGCCTTCAGTTATACCTGAGATTCTCTGGATTTACACCAGTGCAACTGAAGGAAGAATTTGGCCCAATTTGTTTATTCTTCCAAACTCCTTTGATATTTGCGAAATCAGAAAGAGAGTAGATTTACACTATAAAAAAAATTTCCAGAGGGACTCTCTCCAGTACTTTCCTAGGTCATTCTTTGAGCCATTTACTCCACTCATCTCTAAAATCATAAGGAAAACAATATTTCAGACCCTGGTATAACATAGTTAAAACAAGGGGTGGGGGTGGAACAAATCCAACCTTCAAACAATTATTTCCAGGAGGATTTTTACTCTTGCTTCTCCTTCCTCCTGTCCTAATCCCTGATTGCTTTAATGGTGTGACTACAAGCAGTAATAAAGATTCATCTGTAGTCACTGCTTGTAGGATTGGGCCCAGAGACTGAAACAAAAAAAAAATACAAAACAGAAGACCACCTTGGGGATCAAAAGACAGAACAAAATTTTGTAGTTGAAAGGGATGTGCCAAAGACTGGCTTGGTGATCTAGGATCTAGTCCTACAAGGTGCTAGCTACCACCAGTGAGATGCTAAGAGTCCTCAGTTACTACTGATTTTCCCCATACACTTTATATCTTTGGTTACAATGCCAGGGAACAAAATCATATTCTGGGTTTAGGCCTTCACTCCTTAATCAAGCAAATCTGTTGACATCAAAGACAGAGAGAGAACTGTATTAAGCCTTACAGTGACGTTATACGTATGTCCTCCTTTTAGCCCCTCTATCACTGCAGTGACCGATTTATTTGTTTTGTCAATGACACTTAGATTATGAATCTGGACAACTGCAGGGTCATCTTCTTTGTAAATCATGGCTTGATATACTTGAATATTTCCATTGGGTTCAGATGGTGGCACAAACATCACTTGGAATTTTGTTACTTCATCTGGTATCTTCTGAAATGTTACGTTGTTAGGTGGGTCTTTAGGCACTAAAGGAAACATTTCAGAAATTCACTTTAAATTGGAATGTATTACTGTTATTATTTATTTATAGATTAAAATACAGAAAGGTTTCAGAAAAAAAATAATCTTTTGGACACCAGGATTATACCACTGCTATTTAATTTGATTAATTAAAAACTATTATCCCAACACTAAGTGCCTGTGCAAATATTATAATATTAATCTCACAGATAGCAAACCTAATGACTAGAAGCCCACCATAATTAGCATCAGATCATAAGCCACCACCCTCATCTCTAACTACTTTGCTTCCTGGACAGCCCCATGAAAAGCATGAGCTTTTAAGTATGCTCTGAATATAACAAATCCGTGTTTTATTAGACCATGGGGAGACGTGTCAGAGTTGGAGACCCCTTTCTGAAAACACTCTGTCAGCAGCAACCACCCTCACTACTTTTAAACCAGGGGACTGACACAGCATTGCCCAAGGAGACTCAGTCTTTCCATTAACTAATGCCCAAACATACTTGGACCATGTCTACACTACAAAGTTAAGTTGACTTTATGTAAGTTGACATTGAGCCTCTGATTTAAGCAAGTCAATCTTGCGTGTCCACACTACGCTCATTGTGTCAGCGGAGTGCATCCTCACTAGCAGGGCTTGCATTGACACATGGAGCTATCCCACAGTGCATGTAGCTGAGCGGAATTTTGGGTTGGGCTTGCAATGCCTTATGGGACCAAAACATTGGTGCAGGTGGTTATGGGAACATGGCATTAGCTTCCCATGATGCACTTACCTCCCTCCCTCCCTGAAATCAATGGCAAACAAACCAAGCCTTTTTCGCGCCTTTTTTCATAAGCCTGGGTTACTCGCACAGACGCCATGGCACGATAAGCATGGACCCCGCTCAGCTGCACACTGTTGTTGTGAGCATTACAAACACCTCATGCCTTATCCTGCAATATTTACACAGCTGATACAGGAGCCGCCGTGTGGAACAATGTGATGCCACGCTAGCAGCTAGGGTGACCCAATGTCCCGATTTCATAGGGACAGTCCCAATATTTGGGGCTTTTTTCTTATTTAGGCTCCTATTCCCCCTCATCCCCATCCTGATTTTTCACATTTGCTGTCTGGTCACCCTACTAGCAGCCCTGCTGGAAGTCATAGACAGAGCAATTCACAGTTGCTGGTGACAGTCACGTATCACCTTGACACATTTCTAGGTCCGGGAAACAAGCACTGACTGGTGGGATTGCATCGTTATGCAGCTATGGGATGATGAGCAGTGGCTGCAGAACTTTACAATGCATAAGGCCACTTTCCAGGAACTGTGTGAAGAGCTTTCCCCACCCCTGAAGTGCGGCAATACTAAAATGAGAGCTGCTCTGACAGTGGAGAAGTGAGTGGTTATAGCTCTGTGGAAGCTTGCAACACCAGACTGCTACCGGTCAGTGGGGCATCAATTTGGAGTGGGTAAATCTACTGTGGGATCTGTTCTGATCCAAGTTTACAGGGCCATTAACAGATTTTTGCTAAGCAGGGTAGTGATTCTGGGCAACGTGCAGGACATAGTGGATGGTTTTGCTGCAATGGGGTTCCCTAACTGCGGTGGGGCGAATCCTTATCTTGGCACCAGACTACCTTGCCAAAGAGTACATAAACATAAAGGGGTACTTCTCAATGGTGTTGCAAGTGCTGATGGATCACAGGGGCCATTTCACCGACATCAACATGGGCTGGTCGGGAAAGGTGAATGCATCTTTCGGAACACAGGTCTGTTCAGAAATCTGCAAGCAGAGACTTTCTTTCCAGACTGAAAAAGTAACCGTTGGTGATGTTGAAATGCCAATCATGACCCTGGGAGACGCAGCCTACCCCTTGCTCCCATGGCTCATGAAGCCATACGCAGGCAGCCTGGACAGCAGAAAGGACCGGTTCAATCATAGGCTGAACAAGTGCAGAATGGTGGTGGAATGTGCCTTTGGATGTTTAAAAGGTCACTGGCAGTTTGCTTACTAGGTTAGACCTCAACGAAAGCAAAATCCCCATTGTTATTGCTGCGTGCTCCATAATATCTGTGAAACAAAGGGAGAAAAGTTTCCTCTGTGGGGGAGGGATCACAGCCAATTTTGAGCAGCCAGACACCAGGGCAATAAGAAGAGCACATTGAGGGGCTCTGCATCTCCGTGAGGCTATCAAAACCAGTTTCAGCAATAAGCCAAAGTAATACGACACTTATCTTGGGATCTGTGGTGTTCTTTACCAAACTGTCCCCTCCTTTGCATTTTCTCCTCTGTAAATTCCACCCCCACCAACCATGGTGTGTTGGATGAATAAAGAGCCTTTTCTCCTCAATCCGTTAAGTTTTATTATGCACACGAACACACAGAGACAGCAAAGAAAAGTAAGATAACCTGGGGCAAAAAGGGCTGATAACACTGTGGAGGGAGAAACAAGGAAAGCTTGCTTACAGTTGTACTGCAATAACAATCAAAGGTGTGGGAATAGGTGCCTTCTGGTCCTTGTACCCTCCTCTGGTGTTGAGTGCCAGGGATACCAACCCCGCTTGTCTCATAGGACATTTAGGGGAGGAGGATGTAGAACTGGGCAATGATGGCAGCAGGTTCAGCATAAGCTGTAGAGGGACTCTAGCATCCAGCTGCATTTCTTGAACCTCAACCAGATGCCTCAGCATGTCTGATTGCTCTTTCAGAATCTGCAGCATTTCTTCCTGAGTGGCACACTCTTTTTCCCTGCATGTTCTCCTATCCTCCCTTCCATGTCCAGGTTCTTGGACAGTATAATCCTCCATGCTCTGAGCTCCATCTTGTCACTCTCAAAGGTGTGTGTTAACTCATTGAACATGTCCTCCTGAGTGCTCTTTTTCTGCCTTCTAATCTGGTAAAGTCTCTGTCCTGGTGTGGAGGATGTGCCAATGGACAAGGTTTCAGCTGCAAGGAATGCAAAGCACAAGGGTAGCATTGACAGCACATACATTGTTTCTGGTGCAAGGTTAATTTTTTTAATATAAAAATCACCCCTCAATACACTTCACTGCAAGCCACAACGTAATCACAACCACTGGCTATTGCCAGAGTCGGTCTGTTGCTCCAGCCATGGTGAATAAGGCCATGAGGCATGGATGAGGGGTCTTATGCCTCTGCTTTTGTGAAGACATCCTTGGGATCACAGGTTGGAACTTGAGAAAAGCCCCTTTTCCCCTAGCAACTTAGATGGTGCTTGAGAACAGGCAGCAGTGTAAAGCCCCCCAAATAGTTTATTTGTTACAAAAGCAGCATCAGGTTGGGGAGGAAGGGAGACAAACAGGAAGCCGTCACCCCATCTTATTTTTGTAATGCTTGCAATACACGGTGATCCCTTCCAACCAGAACCACAGCCATTTGGGAAAGCATGGTTGTGTGACCCATATTTCACCAAACGGGGGGTAGATTACTTGTTGAATTGTTTGTGGTTTAAGGGCTAGCATTGAAACCTTCTCCCGTTTCCCCTAGGTGACCCTATGCAATATCACTCTCCTGAGGGTAACAGAGGCGGCAAGGGAGCAGATTTTGCAAGTGTCTGGGTACAGACCTGGTCCCTGCAATGCCGTGTGCTGCAATGATGCCAGAAGAGTTAATACTGGAGTGGCGCAGGAAAGCGTCCCACCGTGGTGGACGAAATAAAGGAGCCCTTCCCAGAAACCTTCTGCAAAGGATTCCAGAGTACGTCCATGAAAACTTCTTAGAGATTTCCACGGAGGATTTCTGGGCCAACCCGGGGCTCATAAACAGTCTTTTTCAGAGAGCACCCTCTGGATAGCTGGAGTAGCCACCAGTAACCACTACACCTACTTTTTGGTTCAGATTAAACATAAAAAATAATAGCATATAACCCCTACAGTTTGATTGGAAATGTGTACTCACCAGCGGTCCCTTCCCTGGCATCACACTCTCCCACCAACTGGTCCTGTGAAGGGATGGGCTCTGGGGTTAAAAACGGTTCTTGCCTGCCTCACATCCTCCTCTTCCTTGTCAACAATGTCCTCCTCGTTGTTGCTCTCGGTCACCTAGGGCTCCTGGGACGTATCCATGAAGCATTTTGGGGTAGTGGAGGGGTCACTGCCAAGAATCGCATGCAGCTCCCCATAAAAGTGGCATGTCTGTGGGGCAGAACCAGAATGACTGTTCGCCTCTCTTGTCTTCTGGTACGCTTGCCGAAGCTCCTTTATTTTCATGCAGCACTGCTGTGTGTCCCTGGTGTGTCCCTGGTGTAGCCCTTTTCCTCCATGCACCGCATGATCTTGGCATGGATGTCAGCATTTCTTCTGCTGGATCAGAGCTCTGCCTGCAGATTCTTCTCCCCACACAGCAATAAGATCCACCACCTCCTGTGTACTTCATGCTGGAGCACATTTGCGGCCTTGAGTCTCCACGATCAGCTGTGCTGTTGAGCTCTCCACACTGAGCAAACAGGAAATGAAAATTCAAATGTTCCCAGGGCTTTAACAGGGGAGCGTCTGTTTCCTGTGTACCTGGCTCATATGCAGTGGAGTTGAAAGTGCTCTCCAGAGTAGTCACAGCGGAGCACTGTGGGACACCTCCTGAAGGCCAATCATTCAAATTACACACCGCAGTATCTACACTATCCCCATGTCGACCCATGGATGTCGAATCAAGCGCTATGCCTCTCGTGGAGGTGGAGTACAGAAGCCAACATTACAGGCCACTTAGATTGGCAGAAAGGACTCAGCAGTGTAGACACATACGTTATTAGATTGACTTAACCCAGTTTATGTCGATCTAAGATTGTAGTGTAGACCAGGCCTTAGTGTTTTATAGTGAAACCAGCACTTTAAATTCCATCCAGAAATTTACTGGTAGCCAAAGCAGATCTCAGAGCACATTTATCATGCTCTTTCCCAATGATCCTAAGGTAGCCCTTTATAAAACACATTTATTCAAGTAGTTTATTCTCAAGGTGCAAAAGCAAAAATCATTTTACCAACAGCTCTGTCTAAAAGAAAAGGCTGTACCTCTCTTTCCAGGCACAGATAGAGAAGAAGTTGTTTTGCCTACTCATGCCTCCTGAGCAGCCAGGGATATAACATGACCCCAAATTGTGAACCCAAGTAACCAAAGGCAAGCACACTTCCTCAATCCAGGGGTCTGATATAATCCCTGCTTGCTTCCCAGCCCACAGATATCAGTTCAGTCTTCTCTGGATTGAGCCTATGTCAGCTAGCCCTCCTCCAAGCCTTAACCTCACTCAGATACCACATAAAAAGCTTGAGTGTGAAAATCCAGTGGCAGCATTTGGCCTTGTTATGAAGCTAATCACGCTAATTCTTATTCCTGGACTATTATTCTATCATTAATTTAGGTGTAATATCACAAAAAAGTAAATGTTTAAATTAACCTTTTGATTCCTGCACATAATTGCTAACTGTGCCATGCCTGCTCTACTGTGCGCCATTCATTTGAACAGAACACAACAATGTTCAAAATAGGTCCATAAATCAATATAGGTTTCCCTTCATTAGAAAAGAAGAGATTAAGAACTGTAACATTTACAGTACATAAATGATCATAATAAACACAGCATACATGCTTGAGAAAAAAAACAAGATATTTTTAAAAGTGAGATTACAGTCAAGAAGTTGACTCTGAAAATTTGGAAATTTAGAGACCTATCTTCATGGTCGATGGCTTGTCTGCTGAGGCAGTCTGTTCCTTACGTCAGAGTATCCCTTTAAAGTGTACAGTACTGCCTTGACATTAGATTGATTTCTGCCCATTACAGCCTCCTTCCGGCCTCCTTGTTTAGCTGTGCATCACTCTTACTCAGATGTTAAGCAGGCATAATGATCACCCACCTCCGTAAAGCACTTTGAGATCGATGGATGATATGTGCTAAATATTAGCAGCATTTATTTTTACTGTCTCTTGTTGTCTATAACCACACTTTAACATCAAGGGTAATTCACACCGCTTTACTGTGAGAGCAAAATCTAAAGATGTATTGAAAGTTTAGCTGGTATTTACGATTTATGTTTTCTTTACTGTACAAGTATCAAGAAAAAACCAACAGTGATTTTTAAGTTAAAAAACACAAACACTTACCTGCCTCAAATGTGGAGACAATTACGGAAGTACTAGACTTGCCTTCAATACGTGCAGCACTTACATCTCCTGTAAAAGCGGTGACTACTACAGAATATCTTGTGAATGATTTTAAATCTGAAATTTCCAGGGTTTTACCCTCGTAATTTGTCTTGAGAAATGAAGCTTTATAATCGTCACTATCTACCTACAAAATAGATAAATACAATACTACAAAAATAGTACATTAAATTCACAAGATCATGTTACTTATATAGTGTATTTTATTTACATTTACCTACATACACACAGAAATATACAAGGACCCCAATTAGCAAGACTGAATTGCAGCACAAGGGAGTAGGCAGAATAAGAAACAGACATCCCTTCCCACCCATGTGAAACCACATTATCATTCCCCTCATCACAACTCCAGGCCCGGGGCAGAGGAAATGGATGCATGTCAGTTGCTCTCCTCTACCAAGCAAGCATGTGGGGAGGGGATGTAAGAACATTGATCTGGGGAGCTATGCTGGAGGGAAGAGGAAATTCAGCTGAACCTAGTAAAGGGCTAAACTAGTTACTTTGCCTAGTGAGCAAGAAAGGAGCTCAGAGAGCCACAGTTCTTTTCCAGGGCTCCTTCGAGGGCAGGGCAGCTAGACATCCTGTCTTAGCCTAAAAACTTAATCAAGTGTCAAATGTGAATGCATTAGCAGGACAGCCAAATCCCACATCTGGATAGTCAGCTGGGCACATTTAAACAAAAAATGACACTTCACTTGTATATATGCCAATTTTTAAAAGCCCAATCCTGTACAGCCGTATGTTCATGATTAAGTTTGCTCATAGAGACCCAGAAGGTGGAGTATCATGAGCCTTGTGATGGGCAGTGCACAGGATCACTGCTCCAGGAGCAGACGAGGGACTGAACTGTGACTCAAAGAATCACAATTTGGTCCTAGATTTCCTTTTGCTTTGCAAGTGTGCCAGCCTGCCTGCGGCAGCTTACTTCTCTCTCTGTGCCAGCTCAGCTGACATGTTGAAGGGACAGAGTCAAGGCTCCACCAATTCCTGCCCATGCCCACCTGTACAAGAGGGGGAGTAGCAACTCCATAGAGACTGTTCTCCCCTGTGCACTGGGACTTGCAACTTGGGTAGCTTAGGCAGAGAAATAAGAAGACTACCTTATGCCCCTTTGCTCCCTTGTGTAGGCACAAACCACAGGTCATCATTAGGCCCACAAATAGTCCCACTGAAGTCAATGGGACTTCTCATGTGTGTAAATGTATTCATATGAACAAGTATTTGCTGGATCATTCCCTAAGAATCAATACATAGCTTGTTTCACAAAACTGGTATTGGTACATAAAAGCACAAATCTATTTAATTATATTTAGCTGTGAAATTTTAATTAAAACATCATGAAATTCATTAAGGAGTTACTCATTGGTTAATAGCTTCTTTCGAATAGTGGTGGCAACCTGATGGCTTGATACTTTTATAAATAAAATGGACAAAACATTCATTCTGGCAGAGAGCTGGGCCAGATGGCCTCGTAAGTCTTTTTTAACTTTATGAAAAAGTAGATAAGTGGAAAAGGAAGCTCTTCTAGTCGATGATCAAACAACATTTTATTACGCCCCTTCCTTATGGTCTATTCCCACTATTATAACATTTTAAAATGATGTTTTCATTATTGTTTCTTCAATGTGTAATTTGAAGGATAATTAGGTAGCTGTACAGTAGTTTTCCCACTGGGTGAAATTTGTATTAAATGCAGCTGCTAAAACGTTAGGATCATTCAAGCACACTTTTTCTTTGACAGATGTGCCTCTATCCCCACTGAGGGTTAACCTTAACTAAAGTTTCTGATGCACTAAACAGACATTCATTTCCTGGGATGACCATGAAGAGATGAGGTACTTTTTTATATCTTACTATCAGTTATATGGCATTTAAATATTTACAAGAGAGCTGTAAATACAATTATTTTGATACAGAATCATTAAACTTTTCTTTATTTTTACTCTCCCCAAAACCCTGGTCCAATTTTGTCTCCTTTACTGATTCCGGGTAGTCCTTTACTCCACAAATACTGCTAATGGGAAAAAAAAAATGAGAAAAGGTATAGTATGATTTATTTTGGGCTAATGGTGGCAGAATGATTTTCTTATTACTGTTCTGTAAAGCTGAAAAAATTGGCAATTTAAAGAGAAACCTTGACTTTCAATACATGGATGGAAAGTATTACTTTTTTAAAATTATGATGTGACAGAGAAGGGATCTGAGTTTATTATGTCCTGTGAAAATATTTTACAAATCCTTAAGGAGCCTGATCTGAGAACTAAAATACTAAAATGTATGTAATGTTGTAAAATACAAAATGTTTGTGGAATTTGGAATCTAAATACATAATTTTCCCAGAGGGCCACCAAAATTTATGGCAGTATTTTCACTGCAGACAGACTATGTCAGTTTTATTGGACTTTAAGCAGCAGTGGACCTGCCTGTATAATGCTATTCACTATGGAGATGACACCTGTAGCTACTGATCATTGATTAGACAGTACCTGATTACAAGCAATCTCTAAAATTAAATCTATAAACTTGAAACATTCTGAATGTGAACATGTCTTTAAAATCATGTTTGATTACTGACTGAATATTCAAAACAGCATTTTAAATTCCTGCTGAATATTTACCAACACGTTTGAGAAATCCAGTAATTCATTATAACTTATTGGGTACCTTATTATAAATTATAGGTATAAGTATCAGATTAATATATCATGGTCTAGGACATGACTGCATCCCGCTAATAATTTAGGAACCACATATTACAGAGGCAGAAGGGAAAACTGTGTGAACAGAACTTGGTGGAATGCTTCACACAAACAAAATATTTGAATTTGGGGGTTTGGTGCTTCTGCAAAAAGGTGAAAGAAATCACTTTGGTGCAATTTTATGACAGTGTGTCATAAATGACAGGAGGGTTTCACAAGTAAAATGTCTTTTCGTTTGTTGAAATCAGAATTGTCAAGAACTGCGCTCCAGCTCTTCTCTAGTCTCTTCTAATGACCTGCTCAAGATTTTGCTGAAGGAAGGAAGAGTTGTTTTTCTTTTAACACATCCCTTGTTATTGTAAGTCCTGCCATTGCACTGCTGCTGTGATAGATGGTCTACTACCTGCATAGTGCATTGGGCCAGTTAGAGCAACAGCAGGGAACTGAGAAGCAGAAAGGGTAGAAGCACGTGAGCCCCATGTTGCCATTTCTATTTTATTGTGACTCTTGAAATATTTGATGCTTTTCTTGAAGCCCCAGACATTGATTACCCAGGAATCTCAGCTTTAATTTGTTAGGCTTACAAGCAATATAATACCATAGTATTTTGTCTAAGACTTAAAGGAACATCTAACCTTTTAACAAAGCTAGTTTCCCTAAAGTTTCCCATTAGCACACTATCAATATTTTCAATATCAAAGATTTGCTCATTCTTAAACAAGAAAATCACCATTTTCGCAAGCTACATTTTTATTTCTTATGTCCTAGATTCCTCCGTGCAAAAGACAGTGGATGTTTTGGACATTCTGGCTTTCATTCCTGTCCTGTTTATGTGTCTTGCAATTTCTATAAAACGTCTATATTTGTGTTATTCCAGATACAATCAAACATCTGTATCATTATCAACCAACAAGTAAAAATGAGAACTGCCTTACTGAGGTAACGTCTATGAGGTAGAATGTTGGTCCAGTAATAATGTCCGGTTCACTCCAACTGATGTTAATACTGTGAGGAGATGTAACTACTACAGTTACATTTTCTGGTGGACCATCTGGAGCTATGGAAAAAATGATACATATGTGAATCAGAGTTAGTTCATAACAAATAACACAGTATCTTGAGTCACCATGAAATAAGATTCACTTACCATTTGAAAATGAAACTTTTGTAATTGTATTATTATATTTGCCAAGCTGTTTAAAGAATTACAGACATTTTTGGTTCTGATTCATAAAGCTTTCTATGGGATTTAGACACATCTTTTATTAAAATTCCATATCCTTAATGGAAGATGTGTCTAAAACTCCTAAACAGCTTTGCAAATCTACACCATAGTATCTGTTAATTAATAGGCCCTCTTTTACATGGCACATACAATTTCCACATGGGAGATGGAGTATGTTTGATGCACCAGAATAAAGAACAACAACAAAAAAATACTATCACAAGTTCATATGCATGTCAACAGGACTGGAAAATTTTAAAGTTTTTATAGAGTACTGTTTTCTCAAAGGAATATTTGGTTTCTAGTTTATTTTTATCGTTCTTTTTTTCTTAACATATTGTGAAATACAGAAAAATAAAGAGGCGAAAGGAGCTGTAGGACTTCCAGATTGAATAATGAATATTTTTCAACAGTTTCCACATCATGCGGTGGGTTCACCTGGTTTCCTATTATAAAGTACAGGAAAATTCGGTACTCTTCCTACAACATGGCAATACTTGGTACTGGGCATATTGACTTTTTAAACAGTGAACATGGTAAGAATGGGGAAAAATAGGATTTGTGAGTGCAAGAGACACCTAGATTGCACATAATTTGAGAACTTGGCTCCATTGCACCATTTTGTGCCTGCTACAGAAAGAACAGCAAAACTGCGATCTATACAAATCTCAATAAATAGTAAAATAGTAAAGAAGTACTCTCTATTCCTACCTTTGATTTCTGCATAAAATTGCTTTAATACATTTTTTTCCTTCATGAATCATTAGATCACTACCTACTATCCAGTGGATTACTGCTAGGAAATAAGAAAGTTTGGGTGGTAATTAGGTTTGTTCGTTAGTGGATTGGCTGAGCACTTGAGTGGAGTGGGAGGTTTAGACTACTCAGAGGAGGGTGATCACAGGAGAGAGAGAATTTAAAGCCAATGTACTCATCTGCAGTAGCTCAGTTATATCTAGTAAAGATGTATATTTTTAATTGAGCTATAACTCATTTTTATGTTAGTTCACTCCATAGTTTTTCATCAAAGTTTCCTTTGGTGCAAAAAATGCTTGCAGTACCCATTGCTGCATTACTAAAAGAGGATTATGCCTTTATCTATTTTTGTGCATAGTGAAGTCTCTGAAAGAACTGTAAAATGCCATATAAATGTTCAGTTAACAGAACCCTAGAACTGTGAACTTATGAAGATGATTTTTCATTATTTATAGTACTAGCAAGAAATGGAGCATATTTTATCTTTTAAAATTAGTCAAGGAAGCAATTTAGATTTACTAGTTAGATAAAGGAAGGATTGTAGATACTACAATTCACTTTTAAGCACATTTATATGTAATCCACGTATTTTCACTTAAAATCCGAATGTAATTTACCACATTATCCAGCTTAATTTAGAGATGCAGTATCCCCTATTTGATAACAACATTTTCAATTTGTTAAATTTTTAGATTTCTATCAGGAAACTTTTTATATATTTAAGGTATTTACATAAAGTGCATCTAAACATCATTATCTGTTTTATTTTCACCATAATCAGAAAACAATCAATTGACACTTACTTAACAGTAATGAAAAATTAGGAATAGCTACTGACAATAATCCGTAAAATGAAAAAGGAGACTGGACACTGGAAATGTGCTAGTTCAAAAACACTTGGTGTTTTATAATAAACATTTAAAAAAACCTGGTTGTCTCAGCGGTAACTGTCACATTCTGATTTAGGATTTTTTGTGAAATGAGTCTAGTCAGTAATGGGTAAGATATCACTATACCCTTTCTCTTATAAATCACAGCAATTTACTCAGTAGAAATGACCTAGTCTTATTCTCTCATTCCCCTATAATCCAATCACTTCCTCTCATAAGCAGTTTTCGCCTGGTTTTCGCAATAATGCATTTTCTGTAACTAACAACCATCATTTCCTGATTATCATGCTTCTATCCTGCCACAGGAATGTGGGTCTTATGGAGGTCAGGGTCATCTTTCCCATCCATCTGTGTCCTGATGCTGTGGCAGCAGTTAAGTGTGTTTGCTAGAAGGTAAGTCTGGATAGCCCATCATTTAGCATAGTCCTCAAAAACAAGACTGAATACCCTAACCTTCTCATGGAAGTTCATGCTTGCCAGTTTGGATGAGAACTGCCTTTTTCATTATTATTTTTTTAAGAAAAAAAAGTCTTATATTCAGTTATATCTTATTAACTTGATCTAGATTTCCCCCCAAATTTTTGGATATTTAGGCATTAGACAGATATAGGGACCAATCTTTTCCCCATAAAGAGAATGAACAGAACAAAGAATCCCCTGCGCATTCAAGGCAAACATTGTCTGAAGAGGGGGTATACAAGCATGGCAGTATCACTCCTCTCACTTTGACCCAGAAAAGCAAGAACTCCAGACACTAGAGTTTGGGACGGAAGGTGCTGGGAAGTAGTCAAGGCTCAATTTCTGTAGTCTCATCTACCTGGAAACTCGTGGTGATTTCCCTGTGTAATACAATGCTGACCCTGTCAGTATTATGTTACATAAATTCACATTGCACACATTTCAAATACCTTGGGTCAGGTACAAGAAGAACAGAATGAACCATCCTGCCATAAAAGATGTAGGGTTTGGGGGGCACTTCAGAGTTCTGGCCCTCTACACATATGCCCCAGGCTTTCAGAGATGCCCCAAGAACTTCGCCACATCTCAGCACATCTATGCACGAGGAGTCCCTTCAGCTCGCAAAAAATACCAGTTCCCAAGTTCCCTAACTACACCACAATGCGGAATTAATTCTGTGGCCTCAGTACCATCCATTTCCCACCTAACTTTGGCTCTCCAAAATGATATTATCTGAGAAAAGATGATATGGACTATAAAATGTAATATTTTACTTGTTATGAATGCAAAAGTGAAGATCAGAATGGGTGCAGGTGCAAGATAACTAAGTTTCTCTTGCTATGGAAAATGTTCCCTTTTCTTCCCCTTATTGTGCCACAACACTGTGAACTAATGTACTGGTGTTTGTACACACTTAGATCATGTTGAAAATATTTCATCTTGCAAAACAGAGTTAGCTCTTTGCACAATCCATCAGCTAAGCAATAACAGTGCCATCAAACTATTTTATGAGACAGTGAGACTATTCCTATGAGGATAATCTACAAAACAGAAGGAATAGTTGATCTGGATGGGAGAGCTGGATTAATCCTGAGTAATACACTACAGTGTACTCCAATATACAACATTATTGCGATTATGGCTACAAATATGTACACAGGTCCAAGAATTTAAATAGGAATTCCTGCAGTTTTAAAGGCAAACAGAATACATATTAACTTTGGAGTAAAAGGTACTGCAATGATGGTAATGGTAGTGAGACTCTCCATTTAATTACCCACAGTATATTCAGATGATTAAACATTTGTCTGTTAGATACTGCTGCACTAGTACAAATATTCACAAAATTCACATTTTACTATAACAATGGATAGATACAAAGAAATTGAATTGAGAATTTAGAATGCATTTTATGTAAATTCTTTTATGAATATTACATCTCTATAAACTTCGAGAACTATTAGGTCCAGAGTTTGTGTGTAAATATTGTAAATAGTGCTTGGGTCTGAGAATAATGACTATCATGTTTTGTCTGAGCCTGAGAGAAATAAAAATTACTGCAAATCAAATTATGCGCAAAGAAAGATCCTTTGAGTGTTATTTCACAACCAAGGTTACTTTACATTCCCAAAGGACACATCTAATAGAGCTATTGCTTGAAAACCAGAAACACTGGGTTAAATTCTGCCCTCAGGTGAGCCCATTCAACTCTAATTGATTTCTATGTGCAAAATCTTCAGCTATTTTACATAGCAGTAAGAAGCCCTTACACTCCAAAAAGCTGTTTAACATGGCTGTGCATCAGCAGACTCACCCAGAGGATGTTTGATTTAGTCCAATAGGGGAAGAAGAGGAGATCTATACCTGTTCTGTGCAGAGTTTCCCTGAATAGTCTTATGGTGCACCCTGAACCTCTCTCTTGCTGCTGGTACATGGGGACTCCTAATAGCATTATTATATACCTAGGACTGCAGTAACCCCGGCAAAGGAGAGATAGTGGAACGGGGGAAAGGTTCCTCAAACATTTTTTAAGTACAAAAAATGCCCAGCTGGCCAGAGCTGTAAGAGTTGATTGAGGTCGCAGGAGACAGGTCTCTTCCACAGATCCATGATTGCCAAGGAGGGATCTTAGCTCTGATGGGACATGTCTCAGCTTCCAGATGGATAACCGTCTTTGACATGGCCCGTTCATTTTCTCCTCAGATCATTACCATTAAGCCATGGAAAACTCCAACCCTTGCTAGGATGGCAGAAAGACATTGCTCTTGCTCAGTAATTTCATTGCCCATGTAAAAAGAAAAGGAGTACTTGTGGCACCTTAGAGACTAACCAATTTATTTGAGCATGAGCTTTCGTGAGCTACAGCTCTAACACGGCTGTTCCTCTGAAACCTGTCATTGCCCATGTAATCATAGTCCTATATGGAAGTCAGACTGGATGGGGCCACAGACCCTGTCCTTGGAGTGGGGTAGGGCAGTTACCTAAATGTGGCTGACCATCTCAGAGGAGGTTCTTCCCACCCCTGTCAGTATGTGGCTGCTATAACTGCAGAGCACTGGCCAACCACAGCTTTGTACTGAGAAGGGCTAGTGGAAATTTTACAAATTTTTGAAAATGTTCAGGTAGGTTTGTTGCTGCTTTTAACCAGCTATAGAATTTCCAAATTTTGACTGATTGAATTGATTTTGGTGGATTTTTTTCCCTTTGTTTTTCTATTGGCTCTAGTTCCAAGGAAGCTACTGGGCCTAGGACAACAGTTGTGTGTTTTATTACACTGTTCCACTTTTTGGTTTAAATGAGAATATTAATTATTTGAATGTGCTACACTGACTACTTTGTTCTTTTGAAAGCACAAGCATCCAGTTTTTCCAGACAATAGTTTAGAAATGGCTATATCTTCTATTCTATGTATAAGGCATGGCAACATAGTTTACTATTGTAGAGGCAGAAAAGAATCATGCCAGGTCATCTGTACAGATAAAATAAAAAGACATTCATTATCCCTACACAGAATATTCTGTTTATACCCTAGTTTATTTGTAGGCTAACTAGCATACCAAGTTAGTTACACAACACCCACTGTCCATTATTACAGCTGAATGGGGGTAAGTGACATCAGCATCTGGCCCCATATTTCTACGTTGTATAATTTTTTTTAAAACTTACACTTCATAATCAGGCTTTCTGATCGTAGCTTACTGCACAGGTTGCAAAAGCCCGTCTGAAAATTCCACAGGTAACTACATTTGTTCAGCACCAGTTCAGAATGTTGACAGCTCTCAGTGAATATTATACTTGTTTAATTGGGTTATAAGTGTGAAATACCTGCCAATGGTTTCCAAAAACTTGTACAATTAAATCTCATATTGTTGAATTCATTACTGTATACTAGATTTTACTATTTACTCCAGGTATCAGACAAATAGATTTATACATTTAAAATTATGAAAGGCAAATATTCTATGTGTAGAAATCTGACATAACTTTAAAAAGAAAAATGGAGGCTACATCTTAAGAAATATGTCTCATTTGTTAGATGTATTTGGGTATGGAACAGACCTGCAGAGAAGTTTTTGAAACTCCATTGCTTAGCACTTTTAAAACTAGACTAGATAAAAGAAGGAGAATCTACTGCTGGGAACAGTATTTGAATTGAAGTGCAAATTGACTGGCAAGTCCAGCAAGTCTTTTCTTCCATCTATAAGTTCCATGATAACCACACTACCTGGAACTGTTTAGAAACTTAACCCTTTCTTAAATCATTGAACACTGTTACTGAGGAAATCTAAAAGATATTTTCTCCAGTGCTTTTATTTTAAATCCTCTTCCCCACCCCACAATTTGAAAGTAAAAGAGCCCTAAACTCAGCAGCTGTTTTAGGAAACTGGAACTTGCATTTCTCAGCAGGCAGACAGCAGCTGAGATCTATAAGTGAGAAATCTTCTTCAGAGTTGTTAGCTACCAGCAGTTTTTCCTACTCAGTTTCTGCAGAAACATAGGCTGTAGGTTTGTTTTTTTAAAAAGCTTTAATCTCTTTATCTTGGACTATATCATGCCATCAATTTATAGGCAGAATTTCCCATTAAAATCAATAGTGAGTTCTACTTAAAAAATCAATGCAAAATATGATTCTATTTTTGCCGATCTGGTTTCTGTGGAAACAGGAGAAGGTATGGGAAACAGAAGCCAACAGCTGAAATATTATAAATATAATATGCCACTGTCATTGCTTTGCTCTGTGTGTGTGTGTGTGTATGTGTAAACAATTGCATATAGGCTCTGATCTTGCAAACTTGTTTAACTTGTATACTTGCTTAACTTTACGAATGCAAAGGAGAGGAAGGATGGTGGTTCCGGTGCTTATCTGAGATGTAGGAGACTTTGGTTAATTTTCTACTCCTCCATAGATTTCCTGTGAAACCTCAAGCAAGTCGCTTAGTCTCTCTGTGCCTCAGCTCCCCATCTATAAAATGGGGATGATGGGATTTCCTTACATCACAGCTGTGTAAATTCACTGGTGTATGTGAGGGTGCAGAAGTATTACCTAATGAGCACCATATAAAAGTCCTCTGCATTCAGATACCATGACAATGTTCATGCTATAAAGATATGACTAGAATAGATACAGTGGTGACTGAGCAATCCACTTTCCATGGCCAGTTAAGTACTTGGCACCTCTGCTAAGACTTCTAATTCTGGTATTGTTTTGTGATGTAGACAGATCATTAAAAACAGTGCTGAAATCAACTCATTTCACACAGACCAAAAAACAGCTATCAAAATTGTACTACTGACCTGAGCTGGATCTAAATCAGTGAACCAGATGTGCAAGGGCACATATCCCAATACCAGTCCTCTGAAACATTCATACCTTGTGTAGCGGGGCAGTTACCCTGCTCCTGAGGGAAAAGGCTAGGCTGATTGGGGAAGCAGCTGCAGCTGGGGCCAAGCCCCCATCAGGCCACAGCTAGCCCTATAAAAGGGCTGCTAGGCAGGCACTAGATCATTCTCTCCAGTGGGAGGGAGATGGACCTGGCTGCTTGGGGGCAGGGGCAGGTTGAGCTGGCGAGCTCAGACCTGGCGAGCTCCCAGGCTGCGGCCTGATAGAAAGGCCAAAGCAGGTACTGGGCTGCAGGGAAAGGCAGCAGCTCCAAACCCTCCTTGCTGATGATGAGTGGTTTACAGACTGCAGTCTGCCCCAGTGAGCGGGGGCTAGATGGTGACTGGCAGTAGCCACGGAGGCAAGATGGGGGTAGAGGGTGGGGGTCCCCTGGGTGGGGAGACCCAGATTGTGGGTTACTGCTCGGGCAGAACCCCAAGGTAAGGGGCACTGGGGTCCGGGAGGGACACGGGGGCCAGCGGCAGGTGAGACACTGCCCTGCAGAGGGCCCTCTGGGCTGGAAGAGCTAATTCCCAGGACAACCAGCAGGAGGTACCATGCCGGTGAGCATCACCTCACTACACCTTGCTCCACCAAAAATACCTGTCTTTTTTTTTTTTTATTAATAATGTTGTTTTATAAGCATAGCTGTCTGCACAAACTAGTTGTATCCTAAAATCTGCAGGTGCATCTTGTACAGCAGCACTTAAGAGCTCTTCCATGAAATTTAAAGCATATGATATTGACAAGAAATCTAGCTCCTTAGCTGGTGGCTGCTCTTTATGCTCCCCTAATAGAGAAAGTGTTTCACTAGTCTAATGTGTTTCATCAGTCTAACACCAAAGTTTTAAATTAGTGATGGTTTTTAGAGCATGTGTGTTTTAATTGACCCCACACCACTTACCTAGAAATGGAAACTGCAGAAATCTGACTTGTGAATTTCAGCGGAGGACTCTGGCTGAGAAATTAAATTGCCATTTTGTAAATAGTAAGATGGAATCTAGCATCGAACAGGCTCTTCCTTTTTGAATTACTTTAACTATGAATAAGTAATATTTTAAAATAGGGGAAATATATTAAAGTTGCAAAATTACAACAAATTCTTCTTTGCTTCACAATTGCTATAGCTTTATGAAGAAACATTATAACCTCTGACTACGTTTGCATATCTAGCTAGACTCAATTTCAGTATAGAAATACGAGGTATGACAGTCATCCTTACTTACAGCCAGGCAGAGTTTGTGTAGAAATCCAAGGCGAAGTGTTGCCATAACCAGCATTTGTACTAGCAGCAACTTTAAACCTATACCATCTGAATTTTTTTAGTTCACGTACTATCTCCTCCATATAGTCATCAACACCAGTTTCATAGGAATATTGATCCTTCTCATATTCAATACATTCATTGTTTTCCCAGTCACTGCAGTGGATGGACCGCAGCTGTGTAGTAATCTTGTAGTTTTGAAAGTAGCCAAGGATAGTATGTGGGGTTCTCCATGCCAAAGTCACACTTGTTGATTGGATGTTGGAAAAAGCAACGTCTCTGGGAGCACTGGGGACTAGAAATTAAAACACATTTTCAATTTAACATATAGTATCTTAACTTGAATGACAAGTAGTTTTAACTACCTTCCATTTATTCATAGTTAAAAAAACTATTTTTAATAAGTATGTCTAATGATAAAGAATACAATTTCATATGATCAATTGAGAGTCTGTCTAGTCTCTTGCTAAATATACTACACATTATCAGCCTGATTCTCCTCTGACTTACATTGTTGTAAATAAGGAGTAATTCCACCAATATAAACGCAGTCACACACATCAGTGAAAGTGAGAGGAAAACCAGGCCCTATATATACCTACATATGGCACACACTTAGTATAGCTTTTGGGTTAAAGAAAAATACTTCTGACTGAGGCATGCAAGGGCAGCTAGGAGGAGAGGTAACATTGCTGTTGCTATACTCGGAACCATGCCTCGTCTTGGGGAAGGAATATTAAGCAAAGTTATTTTTGCCCTAACCTCAGCATCTTTTACTGCTGTTGCTAACTGGGATTCCTCTCCTCTCACTCTGAAATCTTGAATTGCCTCCCACGGTCTTGGTAATGCATGCAATCTTCAGGCAAAATTTCAAGGATTCATAAGCATTTTGTTTTACTTTCAGTACATAAACACCTACTGTGTGTGTGTATATATATATATATACACACACACACAAGCAGCTCAGTTTTCCAACATTTGGTGCTGTTCAGCAAACAAGAAATAACTGCAATTAAAAACAAAAATTCAGGAACAAGAAAAAGCAATGTAAAAAAGAAACTCCCAACTTTGTGTGTTCCTTTTATCTATAGACACATATATGTGAACACACATGTAGATATATAAATGTGCATGTACACAACAGCATGCCACATCTATATTAAGCCAACAGTGTACTTGTCAGATCTCTCAAACTGGATATGTGACATATGGTTTTGTACAGGATCATATAGTCACACACCAAGCTAATATTATCTCAAAGATTCTCTGTAAGATTATACTACCATTCTCTGGTAGCAGAAACTGCCACAAGAAATCTCCTCAAAAATCCTTCCATGTACCTGCCTTACGTGTTTTGAAATCTTCAGGGGAAAAAACATTATTGGTAAAACAAAAATCCATTATCTATCCTAATACTGATAACTAAGCAGCATGGATACTTAAATAAGGAACAAAAAATCCCAGGATATTCATTCTGGAACAAAAATGTTCCCAATGGCTTTTGAAGACTTCTGGGAATATCTGAACCTTTGATTCTGTCTAACAGTTCACCTTTCAACAATATAACATCCTAATGTTACAAACCTTTGTCTCCCCCATAAATATGAATACTTTGGAATGACTGACTTGTAAGAATAAAATCTTGACAGAATGGGAGAGGAGTAGCAGCTCAAGAAAACAAAGGAATGAATACCAGCAAAGTGCAAACAGCAATTGTCTGGCTATACTGAAAGGACAAGAGACATTTGACATGAGTTTAATCAGGCCGAAACTTTATTATTAGATGTCTGGGGCTACCCAGCAGATAAAAATGTACAGTGCAGGTAACCCTATGTTTATTCTGTAATTACCGGTGGGTCTTTTACCATCCACGCCCCCCATGTAAGAGGGTTAAGGTGGGCTATAAGAATGGGGGGTTGGCTTCCTGCTGTACCAATCATAGGAGTCCCCAACTGCCCCCATTCGTTCCTTTTCCAAGCCATTTATCTGGTCACTGTATACCTCACCTATGGAGTATCTGCACTGGACATCCACCTTACACTTAAATAATGAGTTGCAACATACAGCCTACCGCCCTTCATGTCATGCATGAACAAAGCTCTTCCTGAACCCGCTGTGGGGAAGGCAAATAAACCCCAACTGCACCCACACCAATATGGTGGTAGGGGGAAAATTCCTTCCCAGCCCCCCTAAAAAAGGGGCAGCTAACATAATGCCCACAGCAGGTCTTGACCAAACCTGGTATTTTACCATCTAGAGGGCAGGGAGGGTGGGTCATGCCTCAGCCTGCTCCTTTTAAAAGGGAAGCTACAGCCGCAGAGCTGCCCCTTTTAAACCCTGCATTCCTAGGGGATGAGTCAGCGACCATGCTGACCCATTGCAGTAGTTTTCATCTCCCCACCCCAGCCATAAAGCACTCTTCCCTTCATTCAGCCAGCCAGCCAAATACCCCCTGCTTAAAGTGCAGTGCAGTCATTCAAGCCAACAAGCATTTAAACAAAAATCATTTTCTGGCCATGGTAATTTTCTTATTTAATCTTTTTACCTGTATAATTTAGTGCTATTGTCAAAATCCTGGCCCCACTGAATCATGTGGCAGCAGGCAACAATATCAGTCCCTGCATTTCTAACGAGGAGGGGAGAGGCAAAGAAGAAGGTATGGCCCCGCCCAACCCCCCTATATTCCAGCCAGCAGATCTGACTGGCCTTGCAGGGGAGAGCATGCTGCACCCCCTGAAGGGTGCAGGGTGATGCCCTGAAAGCATAATTAAGTCCAATAATATAGCAGTAATAATGAAAAAGACATTTCATGGTTTGAGTAAACTGCAAATTAAATATATTTCAAGGAAGATAATACCCTTGACCTAAAACACTAGATCAAAATTGCCTCTTTGATGGAATAAATCTTTTCAGATACCCAGGGTGATAGGCACCTTAGATATACACTGCAGTAGATAGATATTTTATACTGTAACACAGTATCTTTCATTTTTATTTCATCTTATTTCCAATTTACCAAGGGCCTGTTTCAGTAGAAAATTTGTCTAGTTTCTGCCCTGCAAAATAAAGTGTAAGACAGTGGAAAACACAGAAAATTAATTTTCTGCCGCAATGCCTAAACAGTCGATTAAAATGGAATTGGATCCTTAAATGTTAGTTAAAAAGTCTAATTCATTTTAATCTCATCGAATACACTGAAATGGGCAAATCACATATAAATGTCATTTTCGCTTAGAATAAATGAAAAGATGCTGAGTCCTGAGCACATCAAAAAGAGAATGCAGGTACTCGAAGGGCAATTACTAGTGATCAGCAGCGACACTCCAGGGTACAGTACCTTCTGCTTTGATGAATTGCACATTCAACTAGACAACTTCAAGACAACTACACTATTGGGTTACAGATACAAACAGGATTATAGTTACTTTAGCATGGAGAATCAGATTTTCATTCTTCAAGAATGACTAAAATTCCCCAAACTTTTTCAATCCACAGATGGTACTAATTTGAACAAACCATTCCATGCCTCCTAAAGTAATCATTCAGCTTGTTTAAATTTTCTAAACATGATTCAACTATGAAGTGATCAACGTTCACAGTAAAATTATTTCAGATAACAAATTGCATTATTCAGGAATTATCCTTTATGATCTGATGCTTTCACTGGAGATGCAACAAAGGTCTGCATATATACCCCCATAGACATGTTTCTGTTTTAATACACATCTAAATGTAATTGTATTAACCTTCACTAGCCTCCAGAAAGCCACTATATAAATAAAAAGCAAGAAAAGGATGTTAGTTTTGGTATACATTGGGACATTAACTGTCCAGAGTTGTGTTCTGACCAGCTGGTTAGACCTTTGATGCTAATCTCATGTTTAAATCCCCCAAGACATCACAAGCCTCATTATAACGTGATCAATCTATTTAAGTATTTGCCTAATAAAAATATTCTTTCCTGATTATATTTTTTTCATTATAACACAATAAGGAGTATGGAGCAGTCTAAAATATAAAGGATTTGTTTTCATTCTATTTAGCTTTTGAATTCATAACCATGAAACAGAGGACAGGGGTGCTGGAACAATTGTTATACTGGGGTGCTGACAGCCATTGAACCAAACTGTGAACTCTGTATATAAGGGAAACCACTTACCATCTATCAGCACCCCCACCATCCCTAGTTTCAATAACTATGTCAGAGGAGCTTGCTGACTGTGAACTCAGCATCTGCACTGGTGCAGGGATGAGGAATTTCTAAGCAGTGTTTAAAGGTGGCCAAACTTCAAAGCCAAGCACCAAGTCCCCTAAACTCCCTACTCTCACCTGGCTGTGATGCTAATCAGGAGCCCCAAAGCCTATGGACTGCTTTCAGGTTAAGCTTTTATTTAAGAACCTAAGTCGAAGCAAATTCCAGATGCAACAAGCACCTGAATGTGAATCAAACATTCACAGAGTGAGGGAGGCAAAGGAACTGGGCTCATGGATATGGTATACAAAGCTAGGCCAAACTGAAGAGACAGGCAGGTGAGTTTTGCAGCAAAAATTCTATTCATCATGCTGACACAAGGGCAGTAAAGGACAAAAAAAAAATCCAATCTGCTGAGAAAGGAAAGAAGATGGGTCTGACTGTAGAGGTTGCTGAAAAGGATGGGGAAAGAAAAAAAAGTAATGTGATATGCCTAGTTCCTAACTAAATTAATGAAAAGAAATCTGCCTTCAGAACAGCTGCCTTTAGCAGGGAGTTTGCAGTAAAAGAATAATGGTGGCCTATAAATCTGCTGCATGGTATTAAGAGCATCAAAAGAAGTGAAGTGAAGAACCTGGAATAGATACATACTGGAATATAACAAAAAAGGAAATTAAGAAAATAAATATTTGGAGGACTTTGTATTCATAAAATTATATTTCATGGAGAATTCTTAAGGGCCAAACTGTGATACTCCTGCTTACACTGAGTAGTACTTTTCTCTACAGGTAGTTCTACTGAGGTCACTGGGATTACTCATGGTATAAGGTACCATTCAGTGTGAGTAAGGCATTGCAATCTGGCCCTAAACGGTGATATCTTCTTCTTTTTTTTTTTTTGGACTGGATGCTAATTTGCGGACATAAAAATATAAAAAAAAAAGTTAGCTTTTATTTTTTCCCATGATTTTGTCGCTGATCTGATATTATGGACCAGATTTTTAAGAGTTCAACCCTCATGGCTAAGGTCAGATTTTGAAAAGACCTCAACACATTGGCTGATAAGCTCTTTTGAAAATCTAGTCCTTGTTTAGCTGCCTAAGT